ACCATGGATTGGGAGAGCAGAAAACATCCTTTACTTCGACCGATACTTCACCTCAGTAAAACTGGCAAATGAACTTCTAAAGAGAGGAATTGGTTGCACAGGCACTATCATGAAGAACGGAATTCCAGCTGCTGCACGCTTTTAGTTTATTATGTTAAATAAGGAGTAAAAGAAGAATAACATTTAAATTTTTTATATTTTTTATTTATTACACTTAAAACCAATGTCATCATCTGATCACAAATAAAACTTTCGGTAAAATGCAACAACGATCAGATGTCTTCACATGAGAACAAAAATAATCGCGTCAAAAGTTTTATAAATATGCTCAAAGGGGTGTTATATATGAGGCACATATAGTGTTTTGTTCTATCTTTCCTAGAAATCCTTCTAATGAACTCGTTTCGGTCTGGGCGGTAAGCGTTATGTTTATTAAGTTCTCCACCGAGAACATTGGGCAGTATTTGGTTGCATCCTATTTTTGCCTTGGGCCTTACGAGGTTAAGTTACTCCTTGTAATATCAGCTATCTGCCAGTGGAAATCCCGTCAAAATCGGTCCAGCCGTTTCGGAGATTAGCCGGAACAAACAGACAGACAGACGGACAGACAGACAGACAAAAACTTCAAAATTTGTATTTTTGTTATTAGTACCGTATATACGTTCATGTGTATTTAGTAAAAAGCTGTAATTTTGACATTACAAACAGACACTTCAATTTTATTTATTTGTATAGATTTATGAACTTTTTCCATAAACGTCGCTTCTTACGACACCCACGGGATAATATGGGGATGCGTAAGCATCATATTAGTCTGTGGTATGGGGTAATGGATATTCTTACACCGCCACTAATAACATTAGTTTTCAATATGTAGGCTAGGGATTCATCAAGTTAGTCTAAATCTCTAGGACAGAATTAAATAAAATACACACAAATAGTTGTAGGAAAATATTCTATTGACCATTGCTGTACTATTTGTTTTCTGGTACCTAAATTAGTCAGTATAAAGATAAATATTTTGATTTATGTTTTTTTTTATATCGGTATCTTTGCATCGCTTACGGTTACAAACAGTTGCAAGTGGACACAGCACGATGTAACATCAGAGGTAAGCGCGATAGAAATAAAAGCTGATCTCACCAACAGTGAGTCCGCAACCGCGTATGGCTGGGTAAATAAGCTCCTTACGGTTTCGTTATCACTAAATTTAATTTAGATTTATGTAATTATTTTATTATTTAAAAAATTGACAAGAGGTTTAAAGACGACTACTCATTACCGAGGTCCAATGGGAAGAATTTATGGCACTATAAAAAGATTTATGGCACTATACGATTTTAAAAAACTATAAATTGTAGTGGTTTATTATCATACTAGGATTCATTTAAAATACTATTTGAAAATGGGTGTTAAGGATGATTCACGCTACAACGTGGCGCGGCCGGGCCGTGCCCCGCCCGGGGCACGGTCAAACATTATGGTGTACTTTTTGTATGAAGCGATTCATGCCTGACCGTGGCCCGGCCGTGCCCCGGCCGTGCACCGGCCGTACGCCGCCGGGACTCGGCCGGGGCACGGCGTTGAAATGTCGGTGGGTATTGTTTCCCGGCTCCGGCACGGTCCGGCCCCGACACGTTGTAACATGAACATATGCGCCCGGGCGCCCGGAGAGCAGTCAACGTCAAATCTTAGTGAAGTGAGCAACTCAACAGCAAAATGGACGATGAAAAATTATTAGAATGTGTGCGCAAGTATCCTGTGATTTACGATATGAGCCATCCTAAGTATTTAGATAACAAATACAAAAATATTATTTGGAAAACCATTTCGGACGAAATAAAACAATCTGGTAAGTTGTAACTTTTATTTCAATTTACATTTATAATAGTTATTCAAGTGTCACTAATTACTTTACGACAACATGTAAGTACATGTGAGTGGGATTATCGGTTTTTAGTAGGTATTTTAGAATATGTTAGGTAAATTATAAGAAGTATATTATAGTGTAAGTATGTATTTATTCTTGATACTGTTGTCCTATAAAATTACGTCCCGCTGTTGACGCTAAATATTCTTTAAACGTTTCTCTTACCGCAAATGCATCATTAGCCGGTCTTCCTGGTTGAACGCTCAATGGATTTAATAAATGTGGTTGCGCATTTTGTGCACTATGATTGATAAGCCCTGTGTAATCTTTTTGTTCGCATAAAAAATTATGCAGTACGCATGTAGATAGAATAATGTAATCAACATTTTCTGGAGCAAGTTTCATTCTTCTTTGAAATATTCTAAATCTTTCTGTCAAAATACCAAAGGCATTTTCGACTAGTCGCCGGGCCAAAGGCAGTCTATGATTGAAATTCGTTTTATTAGCGTCACCTGTTGCTTGGTGTCCTGGATACGGTCGCATTAGGTATGTTTTCAAAGGAAACTCTTCATCACCAACTATTACATATGGTGGAAACGTAGAGGAACCGGGTAAATTTTTACCAATAGGTACATGAAGCGTCCCATTTTCTAAACGTTTTCCAAGATTACATTGTGCAAAAATGCCACCATCACTGTTTCGTCCGTAAGCGCCAACATCAACTGCAATAAATTTGTAGCATGCGTCCACTAACGCCAATAAAACAATTGAGAATGTGTGTTTATAATTAAAATATATAGAACCACTATTGGCTGGGGCTTCAATAACAAAATGTTTTCCATCCAATGCGCCTATACAATTTGGAAAACCTCTAAGCTTTTCAAAATCTTCGGCAATTTTACGCCACATTTCTTCTGTTGGTTCTGGTATAACGTCTTTCTTAAATCTTTTAACGATAGATCGACATGTGCTATGTACAATTTCGGTCACAGTTGAATGCCCCAATCGAAAACTGTACGAAATAGTTTTAAACGAATCCCCAGTAGCCAGGAACCTGAAAAAATAATAATGGTATAATTTCGCGGTATCTGTGTACTACAGTGAGCTATTACGTATTAACAGTACCATTTATACAGGTTGTAAAGAAAATTACTTAACTTGTTCATTCTATACTATCTTTTTGCAGATGATGTATGTAAAAAAAGGTGGGCAAACATACGGGACCAGTTCAAAAAACATAGAAACAAACGTAAAACCAAGAGTGGACAGGGTGCTGTGGCAATAAAAAAATATAAATATGAAGAGAGCTTGAATTTTTTACTGCCTCATATACAGGATCGAAATACAATAACAAGTATCGAGTCTGAGAACGAAGAGACGCAAAACGAAACGGTTACTTCGCCAGTTACTACGCCCAACGAAACAATTAACACCGATGAACAGCAGCAGCAGGAAGATCGCTCACCAGCTATTAGTGAACCAAATTTTACGCCACCTGCTGATCCGAATCCATATCCCCCGTCAACTGCACAATTCACTCGTTCCGGCAACCGCAATCGCAATGCAACCGTTGCAACTGCACACAATCGCCGTCGTATAGTGCCACAATCCCAGTCCTCTGCGTCAAGCGCATTAATGGAATACATTCTAAAAAATAAAGAAAAGTCCAACACACAAGACATTCATTCTATTGATGCTTTCTTTAACGGTTTGGCAGCCACCATAAAATCTTTTTCCCCTTACTATCAGCATCTTGCAAAAGGAAGAATATTTGCAGTAGTACAAGATTTGGAGTGGGAGCTATTGTCATCAGAGCCTTCTTCTTACACATCTCCAATGAGTGGAACAACGTCAGCGTCGTCTACTAATTCAAGGTCGGTGTATGCACCGGTTCCGATGACTACACCAACGCCAACACCGGAATCAACGCCTACGGAACCTACGCCTTCGGAACCTTCGCCTTCGGAACTTACGCGTTTGGAATCTAATAATTTGTCTACTTTATTTTCAGAGTTCACGGCAGACTAATGAAATGAATAAATACTATGCGAATTATTTAAATTTTTACTTTTTTTCATTCACAATGCAATTTTGATTATTGAAAAATTGAAAATGAAGTATTTAGAAAAAATCGACCCATCTTACAACCAGCTCTGTTAGATGGTTGTGAGACGGGTCAATTTGTAATACTACATTTTAAAATACTATGTGATTTAGTGCATATCAATTTATTATTTACCTGATGCAGACTGCTAATCGTTCGATGGGAGATATAGGCTTTTGAAATCTTGTAATTTTTTTGGTTAGGTCTGGTTTTACTTTTTCAAGTAAAAAAGTAAAGCATTCTTTAGACATTCTAAAATAACCATAAAACTTGCTCTCATCATCTATTAATTCTTTGTAAAGTAAAGCAAATTCTCCTTCTGCTTCTCGCTTTCTCCAGGTTGGATGTACACCCCATCTTCTTTTAGTAGTTTCGCTTCGTTTTTCCAATACTTTATCATCGATGGCAATTGCAATAGCTGCCAATTCAAATTGTGAAAATTGCACATTTATGTAAGCGTGAAGTCTATCGACAGATGAAATCACTAGCTGACAAAAACCACATAACACAGAGTCGTGCATAAGCCACAGTCGTGCAAACAGCCCGGTGTAACATGAATGACTGGCCCGGCCAGCGCACGGTGGACGTGTCCCGGCCGGGCACGGCCCGGTGGCGACACGTGGTAGCGTGAATCATCCTTAATAGACCCTTTTAAAAGTTAAAAGTACAAAAGTTATGAATTCCTTTGACATCCTATGTTGTCTGTTGTCCACTTTCAATCATTTGTATATCGGGTCAAAACAGAAAGTATGTGGCTGAACGATTTTGGTCTTTTTGAATTTTTAAGGCTAGCAATTACTTCTGAATTTTGACATTTGTTATTGACTTTGAAGTTTTGAACCTGGTCTTGTTTCTTTATCTGTTTTTCTTGGCCAGACGTGTGGTTTGGTGTGGTTTTTGAGAACCGAAAGTTCTCTGAATGATTGCGGAAAATGGCAGATTCCGAGGTAATTTAAAGTTAAACATTTTTACCTAACATATACAATGTACAGAGCTATCTACTAACATTGGATCCTTTCACAGATTTTGAAAAAATTAAAGGATATTCCATTTAAAATCCAAACCGCAAGTTTGAAAGGTAGACGTAAAGCAATTGAAGAAATTCAAGATGTTTTATCAACACCAGGTACTTAGTAATGTTATCATTTATTAAAAGCCGTTTCGTATAATCATATGGGTGATAATTTAAGTCTGGAGTGAAGTTGTCCAAATTAGTTTGTCTATCGGCTAGATTTATTGATCCAGGACGTAGGTATACCAGCTAACTGCGTTTACTAAAGTGAATATCGCGCCAAATTCAAATATGTAAAATAAATTCTGATCAGATACATGTTCAATCATAACTACCTATAGCTAACACATTAGAAATAAAGTAACCTCTAAAGTCACCTGTTACACTGTTTACTTTAAAAATAATATTGAACATATGTAAAAGATTTTTTACATACTTATAAGTTTTATCAGTTTATAAAATCTGAAAATAGATTTTATGATTTTATAATATAAACATGAAACTTATAATTAATCATTTCTACTGTTGTATGTTCTAATGTTGTATATGTAGAGTCACATATTTCACTCCCTTTCTGTCTTTATCTTTAAAGTCCTGGTATATTTCTTGGTTGTCAGTTTCACGAGCTCAAAATACTCATTCTACTGTCTTATTTTTATTCTTATTAATATTTTTGAGTTTTAAAGCAACTCCCTAGTACATAATGCTTACTTGATAAATTGTTATACTATATTATACTTAATAGAAAAGTATAGTCAAGTTTGAGCAATGAAAAAATACAAATAAAGTGAATTCAATATCAAATTTTATGCATTGGCTCTTACATATATTTTTACAGGTATAACTGAACCAGCAGTTAGATTTATTAGTAGAGTGCTAACATTGACCTTGCACCGTTACCGAGATAGATCATCACAATCCTACGTTAAAAATCTACTTGCATATCTTACTGCTAATCACCACGAATGGACACAGCGCAATTTTCTACCATTGTTGCTTGAAATATCTGAGACATTGAGAAACACAGCTACATCGTGAGTACAATTACCTATGTTAATTTTATATATTTCATATCAATGTATAGTTTTAATTTAGTTAAGTTTCTTCTCTTTGTTTTTACAAATATTAACCTAACATTAAGATTTTCTCCTGTATTAAGAAAGAGCTTTACATTATTTAAATTGCACATGGACTAACATTTAGATTACACCCTTAATTGTAGGCCATAAAAACACTTGTTCTATGTGAGATTTGAACTCACAGCCTCACAGCATTACAGCGAAATGCTTAGTCACTACACTGTTAGTGGTATCCTGTTGACAAAGTAACAAACTCAGTCTTAATATCTTTTTGACTTATAATGATAACCATCTCAATATAAAACTTAAAAAATGCTAACTATTTGAAAGATCTGATTATTTCAGGGTTTAAAGCTTTTATTTAGTAAACAAGTTGATTGTATTTCGATTAATGCCCTTGTTTTCCTGATTGATATGACAATGATGCAACATGTGCTTTGTTGATGTATTAACAATACCTCCCTCCGTCAATATATATGTGGTGTTGACTGATATGTCTTAAGTTGACAACATGACTTGATACTACACAAGAGCATGCATACAGATCATTATAGATGAAACTTAAGTTGAATAATAAAAAAGCATTTTATATGTACTCAAGATTAACTCAGCATACCAACCTTTGTTAGATCACTGTCCTACTAACTAATTAGGAAATGACCTTAAGGCTTGTAAACAACCAGTTTTTAATAATATTTTTCTAATATGAACAGTGGTAGAGCCACGTGGCAGCTTTTGCTGTCACATGGATGGGTCGGCTCGAACCGGGGTGGTACCACGACCTCACAGAAAACCAGCGTGAAGCAGAGGTTTACCTCTGCGTTTCGCTTGGTAAGTGCAGGTGGCCGGAGGCCCTTTTTACTGGAAATGAGGCATTCCATCTTAGTCCTCACGGGTGACAACGCATCTACATTTTGATTTGTAATAGAGGATAGATGTAGATGTCAATGGGCTGCAGCAACCACTTACCATCAGGTGGACTGTGTGCTCGTTTGTCACCCTTATCCTATATAAAACAAAAATAATAGCAAAATACTAATATTTTAAAATCTCTTTGTTGTTTTCAACTCAATAACCCTAAGTTACTTATATTGCAATTTAGAGCTAAAGAAAAAACCACTGTGCTTCCCTTTACCTTCCTAGAATCAATCGCTATCACCAACTAGCGCTATGCATGGTTACATGCATAGTGCTAGTTGGTGTTGTGTTAACAACTAGCATATTTGAACATCACTTTCTCAAATGTTACAATGAAATGATTATTATTATTGAATAACTATATTTAATTTTAAAATTAGAAGACAGTGAAATAACAAGAATTGTATATATCATTAGCATTTAACATTACCCTTATATGATTTTAGTGTGTCTGTGAAAACTATAATTGGTAATTTTAACTTAATGATTGTTTAAAACTGTTAGTTTTCCTTCAATAAAAAAAGTCCCATTGGTTTCATCGTTGGTTCTTCCCAGGACAGAAGTATTTTCCGAACCAGTGGTAAACTAAACATAAGAATGACTTTCTGAAAGTATTATTTATAATCTATATTGAATATTTATTTATTCAATATAGATTATAAATAATACTTTTGTTTCGATTTGTAAAAATAAAATAAAATAGCACAAATAAAAGGAAGTTAATTAATTTACACTTTCAATCATTAACCACCATAGATAACAACCACCAAAGGCACTGATCTACCCTACCCATTACTAAAAAGAATGTTGTTTACTTGTAAATATGTCATCACATTTTATTCCATTTTAGAAAAAGCACATGCCAAAGTGGACTGTTTGCATTATGTTGGTCAACAGTTCTTACAGAAGGATCTCTCAAAAGTATAGAGGATGATGGAGTGGACTACAAGTCATTGGTTTTGTCCCAAGCTAACTTGTTGGCTGTTGTCACTGCCTTTGGAAACAAGAGAAAAAATGATAAAGCCTTCTCCATGGTATATAAGTCTCTTAAAATATATAATTTAAGTTAAGTTTATAATCAAGACAAATGAAAAATTGATTTCAAGTAGCCCAACTAACATGTGGTAGTGCCAAGTTGCAGTTATATAATAGTTGTAGCATTAATGGTTCGGCTTGACCGGGTAACAATCATGCTCTCACAGAATACCAGCATAAAATAGCAGGTCAATGTTGTGTTGATCATATGGTGAGTGTAGAGAACCAGAAACCCTTTTTATTGGAAATGGGGCATTCCTTCTTAGTCCTCAGGGGTCACAATCCATCTTTATTTTGATTATTTATTGAGGATAATAAAAAGAAAAGTTTAATCTTGAACTATATTTAAATTCAACAATATGTATCTATTACAGCCTATAAAAGTCCACTGCTGAACATAGGCCTCCCCCATAGATTGCCTCATAGGGAGGATTTTGCCATAGTTGTCATACTTGGCAGACAAGTTGGCCAGCCTACAGACTTTCGGGTTCCGTGCCCGTAGGATAACCAACAGGACCCTATTACTAAGTCTCCGTTGTCCGTCCGTCTGTGTGTCAGCCGGCTGTTTCTCATGATCCGTATTAAGTAGACAGTTGAAATTTTCACAAATAGTATATTTATGTTGCTGCTATAACAGCAAATAATAAAAATGAAAACAAATTAAAAATTAAAGGGGGTCCCCTACTAGAAATGTGTACGGAACCCTTCATGCGCGAGTCCGGCTCTCACTTGGCCATTTATTTATAATTTAGAGTTGTTATCAGGAAGATGCTCCTCTTATGACACTCACAGGATGATATGATGTATTCTTACACCGCCACTATACTATATATACAACTATTATTAAGTTTAAAAGTAAAGTTACAGTTTTTATGAAATTGAGTTACCTCTCATTTCTGAGAGCAGTTATAACCTGCATTATTATTTAGTATTAAATTTAATGAAATTTGTTTCTAATTAATATAACATTTGTAATGATTTCCTATATTTACGCAAAGACTACACATTAAATAAAACTAATTTTTACAGATTTTATCTTGTTTAATTTTTTAATTTCCGACGTTTTGGGTGCTTTACAGCACCCATGGTCACAACATATAGCTGACTTGATGCACCGACATTCCGGGAAGTCTGCAGTGTGAACATGTTCAAAGTCTTCCCCACCATTACATTAGATTTGATAGACCACAAACACAGATTCCTACCAAGGATGATTCACGAGTGTAATGAGTTTCACATTAAAAAACATCCTAATTTCAATAGAGAAGATGGATAGGTGCTGCCATCTACTTGGGATCCTATAATTAATAAAATTAAATCCAAACCCAAGCATACCACTGCAAGACTATAAGCTCATTCTGTGTAGATTGGACCAAAAATTAATATTAAAAAACTGAAGGTAGCCGTGCCACATCGGGGCATCAAACACCTCAGCCCCCCGTGACCATGGGTGCTGTAAAGCACCCGAAACGTCGGGAATTAAAAAGTTAAATTAACCGCGATAAAATCCGTAAAAATTAGTTTCATTTAAATTATAACATGTATGAAGTGTGAGTCTTGACTAAAACCTATATTATTTTCTTTATAAAATTCTCACAGAAGACGACAGTGTATTATGAATATATTGTGCTTGGTACACAACATACATAAAAATCAAATAACAACTTTTATCCCATTTGTTCCATATAATAATCCCATTAAATTTATTAAATCCCATTTTGTGAACCAAGTCATCATACAACTTTTAAAATTATTTGTAATTAAAATCAGTAGCTATCACCCTTCTGTTATGCTTCCATGTATGTATATAGAAAGTGATCTAAAGTAATAAATATGTTTTTAGCTACATGCGACATGGAGTACAATTGGTAATAAGAAAGTATCTAAATGGCTGGAAGTTCTCACCACATTACCAGCTGACTCTGGTCCGCACATTTGCGTCACTTTCTCCGCTCTATGTAGACACTTGAAGCAAACAGGGGATGAAGACCTCATCATGACACATAAGGTAACTTTGTATTATTGTTATTGCTTATTAGGAAAACTTTCTCAGTTTTATACTTATTTTTGAGGTGAAAACTTCTTTATAATCATTGTTATTTTAATCTCCATGAAACGAAAAATTGATACTAAAAAGAGACAAACATACATATACATTTATAGGATTAAGCCTGCGAGAGAATGAGATAGAATCTAGTATAGTGTTTTTCTGAAGGTTTCACTTTTACGACATGTGAACTGCACACATGTTTTTTTTTTTAGTTTATATAATAAGTAATTAATTAGTAATAAAATATCTTGTGTTTTTCAAATGTGGTAGAGCCATGCTGCAGCTACATTAATTGTATAGTTGTAGCACGAATGGATAGCCTCGATCGGGGAAGGGCCACGCTCTTTAAGGCTGCTGTGTTTCATATTGTGAGTGTAGAGAACTGGAGACAGTTTACTGGAACAGAGGTATTCTATCTTAGTCCTCACGGCTGACAACGCATCTGAATTTTGATTCACAAACGAGGATAGATGTAGATGTCTATGGCCCACACCAGCCACTTACCACCAGGTGGCTTGTGTACTCGCGTGTCACCCTTATCCTATAAAAAACAAACATTGTTTAATAATTTATCAACAGGCAAAAATGTTAGAAAGTTTCACAAAGAGCCTCATCAGTGTGAAAAGCCGCCCGAATGCGAATTATATTACTGCATGTGCCGATCTATTAAGTCTGCTGACAAAGAGCGATGTTCAAGAGACTTTATTGCCTGCATTGCAAAAAGCAATGCTGCGTAGTCCAGAAACTATTATTCAAGCGGTGGGAGAAGTTTTCACAAACCTCAATATATATGTGGATGGAATTGCTGTGGATATTGGGAAGAGCTTGATAGGTAATTTAATAAAAGTAATTTTGCTACTAGTTAACTTTACTTTATACTATGTGTAAATAAAAAAAATGTATAATGTTCATATAAAATGTTTACAGGTAACCTACATTCAAAAGATGCATGGGCTAGAGTAGAGGCGAACAAGGCACTATCTCACTTGGCCAAGCGATGTTCCGCTTTGGATGTTGCACGTCACTTGTTAACGAGTGCCTTCGCCGAATACCACGGAGCTAGTGGCAAGCTGACTTCCAGCGAAGACAAAATCGCCGTGCTACAGGTGGGTACAAACTACACATTGATTTGATATATACCTACTCAAGGAATGAGGGTTTATACCCCTACTCTCACCAGATGTAGCTGGCTGGGACTGAGGTGGACTTATTTGTCACGCAGATGGTCACATAGTGTTGTCAATGACATCCTGATGTCATAGTTAGCTCAGCTACCTTCAATTTTTGAATATTAATATTTGGTCTGATCTACGCACAATGAGCTTACAGTGTCTTGAAGATATTTTAAAGCTTCAAGATATTTTAAAAAGTTTTCTGTTTCCAATGTATGTATGTACACAAAACAATGCCTAGGTTTGTGTACATACATACACTGGAAACTAGTACTAGTGTGTTCTTTAACTTTTTACACATTTTTTAAAATTCTCCTTTTAGGATTATCTGTAGTTTGATTTATCCATTTCTAATGTAATGAATATAAACTAATATTTCAGAAAGAAATTTTAATTTTTACACTTTTCTAACAATTTAACCTTTCTGCTATGAGATCTATGAAATTTCACTTCATTTCAAAGGGAAGCCGCCCTGGTGGTAGAAAAGGTGGTGGAAGTAATTATTCTATGTTAGAACTTATAATTAGCAATGTTAGATTTAACATTGAGAGCTTATTAATGTTGAATCTTTATGGAATGTTAATTTTGGTATAGATATGCATTAATTGTGTAACACTTGTTTAGGGTGTGAGCACACTGAGTGAACTGGCGGTGTCTGAGGAAGATTTTGTAGCACTCTTCAACGAGACAGTGTCGCAGATGACTCGGGTGTTGGAAAGCGAATCCCATGAACGTACACTGTGTGTTGCTCTCGACGTGTTAGACCGTTGGACACAAAGGCTTCAAGCACCGTTACCTGATAAAATCTTTGAACTATTCAAGGTGCGTAAATAATGAAACAGTTAAATTAGAATAGAAAAGAATAATTTTTTATTCAATATTGATTATTACATAATACTTATTGAAAGTCATTTTTTATTTACCACTGATTTCGAAAATACCTCTGTCCTGGGAAGAACCAGCAAGAAACCCAGCGGGACTTTTTTTTTTCAAACATATTTCTCTTAACAATAACTTCGTTTATACAATTTTTAAATGATTTTTCATAGAACCAGCATGGTGGCGATCACCTTATTCCCAGGGGTTATTTTCATTCATGTATTCCTTGATATTATAATAACCCTTTTTGTACAGTTTTTCTTTAATAAATCTTTTAAACTTGTCTATTGACAAATTTTGAACATGTTCCGGGATTTTGTTGCAAAAGCGTATACATTGCCCCATAAATGAATTACTGATTCTGTGGAGTCTAGTAACTGGCATTACAAGCTTATGTTTGTTCCTAGTGTTTAAGGTATGAACATCATTATTCTTATTAAAGCTATTTATGTTTTTATGCACATACATTACATTCTCATAAATATATTGCGAAGCCAATGTTAATATGTTTATTTCTTTATCTTAATTATATCTTAATTAGAAACATTATGTGAAAATTTAATTTATGCATTTGATTTGATTCTATTCTATTCTACTCTTAAGAGTAGAAGTTTTGTTATATAAATATTAAAGCATAATTACATTAATCTTTATATATATAAATTATTAGATACTGATCAATGATAACAATTATTTTTTTCCTATCTTGTCTTATTACGTGATTAGTACATTTTTCGTATTTTCGTATTTTATGTATCTACATGATGATTTTCTTTAATCGTTATTTAATTTACAAATAATTGTATATTCGTATTTTGTTTTTAATATAAATATACGAGGGTGGATTGATAAGTACTCGGCCTAACCAAGAAAATAAACAAATACTAAATTAGTTATATTTTTATTTTTCTACATAATCACCATCAAGTTCAATACACTTTTGCCACCTCCCCTTCCAAGCATTTAGACCGTTGAAAATAAGATGATTCTTCCTTAGAGTCAAAATATGCGTCTACAGCTGCTTTGACCTCGTCGTTTGTTGAAAATCTTTGACCTCCCAAGTGCTTTTATAGGTTAGGGAACAGAAAGAAGTCTGATGGTGCCAGATCAGGTGAATACGGCGGATGCGGTAACAGTTCAAAGCCACAGTTGTGAATTTCAGCCATTGACTGTACTGACGTGTGAACACGGGCGTTATCTTGATGAAACAGGACTTTTCTTCTGAGCATTCCTCGACGTTTTTCTTTTATTTCCTCTCGTAAACGACGTAGTAAGGTGCAGTAGTAATCAGAGTTTATATTCTGACGCCTTTCAAGATAATCAATCATAATCACACCTTTCGAGTCCCAGAATACTGAAGCCATCACCTTATTTGCCGACAAAATCGACTTAGCCTTTTAGGGGGTGGTGAACCAGGTCTTCTCCACTGTTTTGATTGTTGTTTTGTTTCCGGTGTACAGTAATGAACCCATGTTTCGTCCATAGTAACAAAACGATTCAAAAAATCATCTGCATCGGCTTCAAATAACTCCAAACAGTCGCGTGAAATAGTCAATCGCGTCCTTTTTTGTTCAACTGAAAGCAGTCGCGGAACCCACCTCGTAGACACCTTGTGGAAACCCAACTCGTTGTCAATGATGTTTTGAGTTCGTTCATAAGAGATGCCTATAATCTCGTCTATCTCTCTAATTTTTAATCTGCGGTCTCCCATTATTAAATCAAGTACTTTTTTAATATTTTCGTCAGTAGTTGACGTCGAAGGCCTTCCAGAGCGGGGTTCATCTTTCACACTCTCTCTACCACGCTTAAATTCTGCTATCCATTTTTTGACGGATGAATATGACAGAGCACAATCGCTTAATGTACTGACCATGTCATCATGGATGGCTTTTGATGATAGCCCCTTCTTATGGAGGTACTCAATGACGGCACGCTGCTCGATTTGCTCCATTCGCGGAAATTATGTCCGATTACTTTGTTAATAAATTTATAAAATCACAACTAATTATCGCACACGTTTCGAACTTCACACAATGAACTAGTCTGAACTGAACTAAATAATGTGGTTAGATTTGATTTTTAGAATTGAATGGATCTGTGTTAGGCCGAGTACTTTTCAATCCACCCTCGTACTACACCTATAACGTTAATCACTTTCTAAACGCACTAAATCGTACATATTTGCTCTCAGGCTAGATGGAGGTCAAGAGTAAGCCCATTTTCAATAAAAAAAGTTATCATTATATTCTAAAAAAAGTCTTGAAAAATATGAAAATTTATTTAATATAAAGATTGATGATAATTTTGTAAACTTAATTATAATTGCATACTATTGTTGTAAGTAAAAGTAGCCTAATGGCAGGGTGCGAGCTGTCGTGCGTGCACAAAAGGTTGTGGATTCGAAAAGGCCATTTGGCTACTATCGTGATCCACCATTATCACAAACATTTTAAGTTTCCCAGGAGTGGTTAAAGTGAATATTATTAACGTTAATAGCGTTACTAGTATTTTTAATTAAAAAAATTTATAGAGCAGCTATTTTATTTTTCTGCTTACCCTCCATACACTTGCCATCCACACATCTAACATGGCGCTGATTCAAAAGCTAGTGATAAATTGTAAGTCTCTTGATTTAATTTAATTGAGAAATAAATTCGGTAATTTATTCAATTCTGATCTCATTCATACATTTTAATGTATGGTCCTCCGAGCCGGATCACTTAAATGACTCAAGATCAACACATATTAGCTGCTGTTCGCAGCCCATATTCTCACATAAGCAACTAAAACAAGGTTTTGAGTGATTACTGAACTAGTATTTTCTTTTGTAGAATAAGTTTACCAAGGCGACCCCTGCCATACCAAGGCGACCCCTGCCACGCTAACCGTGAATTTCTGCAACATCAGGGGACTTCACTCTAACCTAAACGCCGTCCACTACCATCTCGAGACGGCGAAGCCGGCCTTGCTCTTTCTGACCGAGACGCAGGTTTCCTCTCCGGCTGATATTTCGTATCTCTCCTGCCCGGGGTACAAATTGGAGCACTCCTTTGTGCCTCGGGCTGGAGTTTGCGTGTATGTCAGAGAGGACATCTGTTCTCGACGCCTCGGCAGTCTTGAAGGTTCGGACCTGTCCATCCTTTGGCTACGCGTAGACAGCGACGACCATCCGCGCGTCTACGGGTGCCTCTATAGGTCCCATAGCGGTAATGCCGAAACAGACCGACTCATCGACCACGTCCAAATGGCTACAGATTCCTTGCTACAACAGGTCCCATCCGCAGAGATCGTGATCCTTGGCGATTTTAACGCCCACCATGCCGAATGGCTCGGTTCACGTTTAACCGATCATGCGGGGAGATCTGTTTATGACTTTGCTTTGGCATATGGTCTGACACAACTGGTTACTTCGCCTACACGGATTCCAGATGTGGAGGATCATACACCTTCCCTGTTGGACCTTCTGCTGACCTCTCATCCGGACGGATATCAGGTTTCCGTCGATGCCCCTCTCGGCTCTTCGGACCATTGTCTGATCCGGAGTATGGTGCCACTCACGCTCCCTTCGCGGTTGCGTTCTGCAGGTTGCCGCCGTGTTTGGCATTACAGGTCGGCGGATTGGGACGGAATGCGGTCTTTCTTTGCATCCTACCCATGGGGGCGTGTTTGCTTCTCGCCGGATGATCCCAGCGCTGTTGCTGACTCTGTCACTGATGTGGTGCTACAGGGAATGGAACTATTTATTCCATCGTCTGTGGTACCCATCGGAGGCAGATCTCAGCCTTGGTTCGGTCGCTCCTGTAAGACTGCATTTCGCAGAAAGCAGGAGTGTTATCAAGCCTGGGCTGCGGCTTCGGTGACTCGGGATGTAAACACCAGCACACTTAAAAAGAAGTATAACTTCGCCTCCAGGTCCTTCAAAAGAGTTATTGCCAAGGCAAAGTCTGAGCACATAGGCAGAATTGGCGAGAAACTAGTTCGCCTTCCTTCGGGAACCCGTGCATTCTGGTCTCTCGCCAAGGCTGTCCAAGGGAATTTCTGTAAGCCATCACTACCATCTCTGCACAGGGAGGACGACTCACTGGCCCACGACGCAAAAGAGAAGGCCGACCTTTTAGGCTCCCTTTTTGCGTCCAACTCGACTGTTGATGACGGGGGGAACACACCGCCGACCATCCCGCGGTGTGAGTGCTCTATGCCGGATGTGCTATTCTCACAGCGCTCGGTTCGCAGAGCACTCCTCTCCCTTGACATCCACAAGTCGAGTGGGCCTGACGGAATCCCCCCAATTGTGCTGAGGACGTGTGCTCCGGAGTTGGCACCGGTTCTAACGCGTCTTTTCCGGTACTCCTACTCCCAAGGCGTAGTCCCGAACTCATGGAAGACAGCTTTTGTCCACCCGATCCCTAAAAAAGGCGACCGCTCAGACCCGTCCAACTATAGGCCTATCGCGATCACCTCCTTGTTCTCCAAAATAATGGAATCCATTATTAACTGCCAGCTCATCCGGTACCTTGAGGATCACCAGCTGATCAGTGACCGCCAATACGGTTTTCGTCGGGGTCGATCAGCTGGTGATCTTCTAGTCTACCTGACCCATAGATGGGCGGAGGCAGTAGAGTCCAAGGGGGAGGCGTTGGCCGTTAGTCTGGACATTGCGAAGGCCTTCGATCGGGTTTGGCACAAAGCGCTTCTTTCGAAGCTCCCTTCCTATGGGCTTCCCGAGAAATTGTGCAATTGGATCACCAGCTTCCTTGCAGATCGGAGCATCAAGGTCGTTGTAGACGGTGCATGTTCTGACTACAAGCCTATTAACGCTGGTGTTCCACAAGGCTGTGTGCTATCACCAACGCTGTTTCTTCTGCATATCAATGATATGTTGCTAACTGGTAACATTCATTGCTATGCGGATGACAGCACTGGTGATGCTCTATACACCGGCCGGGCCAATATTTCTCGGGAAAACGTCGCCGAGTACCGGAACAAACTTGTGTCTGAAGTCGAGTCTTTGCTGGACAAAGTCTCGGATTGGGGGCGACTAAATCTAGTCCAGTTTAATCCTCAGAAGACACAAGTTTGCGCGTTTACCGCTAAAAAGAACCCCTTTGTCGTATCTCCTCAGTTTCAAGGCACTCCCCTTCTTGCCTCAGCCAGTATCGGTATCCTCGGAGTCGACATATCGAGTGACGTGCAGTTTCGTGGTCACTTGGAAGAGAAGGCCAAATTGGCCTCTAAAAAGCTTGGCGTGCTCAGCAGAGCGGGACAGTATTTCATGCCGGCACACCGCCTGCAACTTTACAAGGCGCAGGTTCGGCCTCACATGGAATACTGTTCCCATCTCTGGGCAGGGGCTCCCCAGTGCCAGCTCCTTCCACTTGACCGCATCCAGCGCAGAGCGGCTCGAATCGTCGACGACCGAGCCCTTTCCGATCGGCTCGATTCATTGGCACTGCGAAGAGATGTTGCATCTCTTTGCATTTTCTTTCGCATCTACCATGGGGAGTGCTCTGAGGAATTGTTCGGATTAATCCCAGCCGCCAAATTTCATGAACGCACATCGCGGCAGAACTCCCGATACCATCCACACCATCTGGATGATTGGCGGTCCACCACTGTGCGATTTAGAAGATGTTTTCTTCCTCGCACGACTTCCTTGTGGAATCGATTACCATCAGCGATTTTTCCGGACCGATACGACTTAGGGACCTTCAAGAAAAGAGCCTACTCCTTTTTAAAAGGCCGGCAACGCATCTGCAATTCCCCTGGTGTTGCGGTTGTTCATGGGCGGCGGTAGTCACTTACCATCAGGTGAGCCGCATGCTCGTTTGCCCCCTCTCCTATAAAAAAAAAAAAAAAAAAAAGTGTGACAGACGAGCACACAATCCACCCGATGGTAAGTGGATGCTGTGGCCCATAGACATTTACATCTATCCTCGATTAAGTATGTATCAAGATATAGATGTGTTGTCACCCCTGAGGACTAAGATGGAATGCTTCCTGCTCAGTAAAATGGGTATCCGGTTCTCTACACTCACCATACGAAACACAATAGCATTAAGCTGCTATTTTACGCTCGTTTTTTTTTATAGGATAGGGTGACGAACGAGCAGACAGTCCACCTGATGGTAAGTGGTTGCTGTAGCCCATAGACATCTACATCCATCCTCGTTTGCGAATCAAAATGCAGATGCGTTGTCACCCGTGAGGACTAAGATGGAATGCCTCCTTTCCAGTAAAAAGGGTCTCCGGTTCTCTGCATTCACCATACGAAACACAGCAGTGTTAAGCTGCTATTTTACGCTGGTATTCTGTGATAGCGTGGTCCTTCTCCGGTCGAGCCGACCCTAACTATACCATTAATATAGTTGCAACATGTGTGTATATTGTGACTGTGTGACCGATTCGAGCAACAACCATTATATTGCTGCAGCATATACTACATGTACATATTATATGATACATAGCGTATGTAGTATAGGATAAAGATATGGGCATTTACAGAAAAACCAATCGGCAAAGAGCAGTACGCAACCTGTGCGCACTGCGTACGTGTCGCTGGTGTCGCGTGCGGCGAGACGCGGCGCCTCGCGAGCGCACAGCGACGCGCTGCGCCCCGCCCTGCTCGCCGCCGTCGAGCGCGCCGCACACCAGCCGCTGCAGGTCACTGCACCAATACACGATTACACTAATACACTTGCACATGCTGCGAGCGCACAGCGACGCGCTGCGCCCCGCCCTGCTCGCCGCCGTCGAGCGCGCCGCACACCAGCCGCTGCAGGTCACTGCACCAATACACGATTACACTAATACACTTGCACATGCTGCGAGCGCACAGCGACGCGCTGCGCCCCGCCCTGCTCGCCGCCGTCGAGCGCGCCGCACACCAGCCGCTGCAGGTCACTGCACCAATACACGATTACACTAATACACTTGCACATGCTGCGAGCGCACAGCGACGCGCTGCGCCCCGCCCTGCTCGCCGCCGTCGAGCGCGCCGCACACCAGCCGCTGCAGGTCACTGCACCAATACACGATTACACTAATACACTTGCACATGCTGCGAGCGCACAGCGACGCGCTGCGCCCCGCCCTGCTCGCCGCCGTCGAGCGCGCCGCACACCAGCCGCTGCAGGTCACTGCACCAATACACGATTACACTAATACACTTGCACATGCTGCGAGCGCACAGCGACGCGCTGCGCCCCGCCCTGCTCGCCGCCGTCGAGCGCGCCGCACACCAGCCGCTGCAGGTCACTGCACCAATACACGATTACACTAATACACTTGCACATGCTGCGAGCGCACAGCGACGCGCTGCGCCCCGCCCTGCTCGCCGCCGTCGAGCGCGCCGCACACCAGCCGCTGCAGGTCACTGCACCAATACACGATTACACTAATACACTTGCACATGCTGCGAGCGCACAGCGACGCGCTGCGCCCCGCCCTGCTCGCCGCCGTCGAGCGCGCCGCACACCAGCCGCTGCAGGTCACTGCACCAATACACGATTACACTAATACACTTGCACATGCTGCGAGCGCACAGCGACGCGCTGCGCCCCGCCCTGCTCGCCGCCGTCGAGCGCGCCGCACACCAGCCGCTGCAGGTCACTGCACCAATACACGATTACACTAATACACTTGCACATGCTGCGAGCGCACAGCGACGCGCTGCGCCCCGCCCTGCTCGCCGCCGTCGAGCGCGCCGCACACCAGCCGCTGCAGGTCACTGCACCAATACACGATTACACTAATACACTTGCACATGCTGCGAGCGCACAGCGACGCGCTGCGCCCCGCCCTGCTCGCCGCCGTCGAGCGCGCCGCACACCAGCCGCTGCAGGTCACTGCACCAATACACGATTACACTAATACACTTGCACATGCTGCGAGCGCACAGCGACGCGCTGCGCCCCGCCCTGCTCGCCGCCGTCGAGCGCGCCGCACACCAGCCGCTGCAGGTCACTGCACCAATACACGATTACACTAATACACTTGCACATGCTGCGAGCGCACAGCGACGCGCTGCGCCCCGCCCTGCTCGCCGCCGTCGAGCGCGCCGCACACCAGCCGCTGCAGGTCACTGCACCAATACACGATTACACTAATACACTTGCACATGCTGCGAGCGCACAGCGACGCGCTGCGCCCCGCCCTGCTCGCCGCCGTCGAGCGCGCCGCACACCAGCCGCTGCAGGTCACTGCACCAATACACGATTACACTAATACACTTGCACATGCTGCGAGCGCACAGCGACGCGCTGCGCCCCGCCCTGCTCGCCGCCGTCGAGCGCGCCGCACACCAGCCGCTGCAGGTCACTGCACCAATACACGATTACACTAATACACTTGCACATGCTGCGAGCGCACAGCGACGCGCTGCGCCCCGCCCTGCTCGCCGCCGTCGAGCGCGCCGCACACCAGCCGCTGCAGGTCACTGCACCAATACACGATTACACTAATACACTTGCACATGCTGCGAGCGCACAGCGACGCGCTGCGCCCCGCCCTGCTCGCCGCCGTCGAGCGCGCCGCACACCAGCCGCTGCAGGTCACTGCACCAATACACGATTACACTAATACACTTGCACATGCTGCGAGCGCACAGCGACGCGCTGCGCCCCGCCCTGCTCGCCGCCGTCGAGCGCGCCGCACACCAGCCGCTGCAGGTCACTGCACCAATACACGATTACACTAATACACTTGCACATGCTGCGAGCGCACAGCGACGCGCTGCGCCCCGCCCTGCTCGCCGCCGTCGAGCGCGCCGCACACCAGCCGCTGCAGGTCACTGCACCAATACACGATTACACTAATAACACTTACACATGCTACGAGACTCTATCAACACTGTTTTTTAAATAAAACCAGAGATGACTATTGTTTTTTTATAGTAGAGGGGGCACACGAACATGCGACTCATCTGATGGTAAGTGTTGATTGTCGCTCACGAACAACTGCAACACCAAGGTAATTGCAGGTGCGTTGCTGGCCCTTTAAAAAGGAGTGATCTCGTTTCTGCAACTATCTTGTACTCTCCAGGCTAAACTGCCAATACGGTATACGGACCAAGGCTACTTTCGAAAACTAACCGAATAATTCAAGAGGGTTCAAAATGCTTGTGCCAGATATATGCACCACATTTCCCCACGAACTTACGAAGGTCTCTTCTTAAACAAATCAAACTTATTAAGAATGTCCCAATTAAGGGCGCTATATTTGGCAACACTTATGCTCGTCTTATGTCGAACACTATCCTCGCGGCCAAGTCTAACCACAATGGGTATTGCTTAAAACCAACGCCACCACAACCATGCGATAGCATTATGTTGAGTCAGTGCCCTTTTCAACATCACATACTCATCCAATCAGATAATTTTATGCCTGTTTATCTTATTTATTTTTATATTTGATGTATTTATGTATTATTTTATTTTCTGTATCAAAACTGTACGAGTGTAAGTTGTTGAATAAATGCATTTCCATGTCGAAGTCGTATTTGTCCGAAAAATCACCAACGATAAACCATTCCATAACAAATTCGTGTGAGGAAGAAAAATCTTGATAAATCACACGCGTAATATGTTTTGTCGCGATATGCGTTGGTGAAATTTGGTAAACTTGACCGCCGACGGATTGTTGTTCCTGTTTTATCGTTTAAATAATAGTTTGAAGTGGATGGTGAAACGTAAAAGTGATTCAATTTCGTTTATTAGTGATTGCGCATGTGAGCTATTTGTGGAAACGACGAATCAAGTGCTTCGAACTTGATATAAACCTTAAGTTATTTTGTTCGCTTATACGCCTTAACGACTTAAGCCACTGTAGTCATCGACTGGTCCTCTGGTTTAAGCTGTCAACAAAATCTCCCAAAAACTTTGCATTGTGACGCATCAGCATACTGTGAAGAAGTTTTTAAACATATTAATATTTTAATAGATAATTCCTTATTACTTACAAAGGCAAAGAAAGAAAGAGATGTGTATTGCTTGAGTGTAATGGTTATAGAAGGTTTTTAATAGCAATCAATTGGCAAACGGAATCTCTTTGCTTCTTCTTAAGCTATAAGGCGTTTTACAGTTTTAGTAGTTTCTTTAATATTACATTATATTGCATATGTATACAGCATCTGGTGGTGAGCGAAGGTATCAGTGCCATGCTGGGACTGACGTTACTGGACACTGCACGAGAGCTACCGGGCAAGGGAGCGGTGTGGGCGACGCTGGTACACCCAGATAAACATGTTCTCCTGCACGATAGAGTGCTCAGTGCCACCCATGACGACGGTAACTTGGATTTATTTTTACCTTTATACTGACCCGCTAGATATTATCTTTAGAACTAAGTGTTTTGAGGTCCTTACAAAACCGCCTTTTTTTCAATCGACTTCAAAAAAAGGACGAGGTTCTAAATTCAACTGCTTTTTTAATGTCTGTTACCTCAGAATTTTTTTCAAGGTGAACCGATTTTGATGTATTTAATTGACTTCGACTACATTGATGATGTTGTGATGATGTTCTCATTTATATTGAAGTTGGTTCTAAAAAAATAATAATTATACCACTTGTTATAGAATAAAGTTTACAAACGAGCACACATTCCACCTGATGGTTAGTGGACGCTGTGATCTGTAAACTACATACATGTTTATCCTCAATTAAAAATCAAAATACAGATGTATTGTCATCCCTGAGGACTATAGTGGAATGCCTCGTTTCCAGTAAAATGGATCTCAGGTTCTCTACACTCACTTCACAAAACACAGTAGCATTAAACTGTTATTTTACGTAGGAATTCTTTGAGAGCGTAGTCCTACCCCGGTCGAGCTGACCCATAAATGCTACAACTATAATATAGCTGCTGCATGACTCAACCACATATAACATTACATAACCATTTTACAGTATATGTAAGTTTATTCGTCATACACATCATTTCATGAAACTTTTATACCATTTTTATTATATTTTCCTTGAGCTAACATACCACCTGATGATAATTGTCTACTGCTAACCTTAGACACGTCCGATCAACTTGAAACAAAGAAGGCCACAAATTTATTGTCACCCTGAGGCTTAACATGAAATGCTTCACTGCTTCTCTTACACTTCGACAACAGTTTTCTTTCACAAAATTGTGTACTGTGTGTGTGCTGTACAAGGTAAAAGAGTAGTAATAATTCAGAAGGATAGAAAAGCAATCCTTCCACCTACTAAAAATTAGCTCAATCTGTTTTTGATTTACAACAATATTTTGTGTTTCAATTTAATTTGCATTTAGCCTATATTCTTTCATATTTAATTCGCGATATTGGTATAGTAATGTAAACTAAGGCACACACACACACACACACACACACACACGCGCGCGCGCGCGCGCGCGCGCACGCACGCGCGCGCATTCACGCACACACACCACTGTTTTAAGATATATTTATGTAATTATTTTTGTTTTTGTTTTTATTGCTGCAAAATGTTCAATTGCACTATAACATTTACCCCTTTATAGTCCTCATACAGGTGGTGTTGCTATGCAGAACAGTGTTGGAAAACTACCAAGGTGTTGCCAGCGAGAGGAACTCACCTGTGTATAGAGCGTTTATACTTACCTTACTATCAACCGCCAAATCAGTGCGAAACACGGCAATAGAGGAAGTGAAATCATTACTTGCCAAAGAAGACAGAGCTCAACTAGCAAGATATTTAGCACTAAAGTTGAACGACGTGCTGGAAGAGGGCAAAATCTTCTGCGTCAAAGAGAAGACACCTCCTGAAGAAAAGGCACCTGAAGTGACTGGGAAGATGATATTAGATTGTGTACAAGCTCTTTGTTCATTTAGGGGTGAGTTTCACTGTAATGCTTTTCTAGCAATAATTAAATATTTAATAAGTAATTAATTTTACTTAACCACTTGAGCCATTTATAATAACCACCAAATTAGTTAGATCTATGGTCAAGCCAAAGAGTATAGTAGGTCAGGCCAAAGACAATTTTTTTTTAAATGAAGGTAAATATAACTTAGAGTCATTACTAAGTTCTTATCCAAATATAAATAATAATATAAAAAAAATAATAATATAATATTATTAGTGAAAAGAAAAAACACATGTTTATAACCTATAACAACAAAGTTATTTTTGCTTTGTCATCCAACAAGACCCGTGTCTGCGTAATAACAGCGACATCTATTTTTACAAACGTCAAAACCACTTGCCACGCTCAAAGACATCGATCGATTTTTCGATTAGCTAGTTATTGAGTTAGCGGAGATATGTATTAATTAGTACTGTGGAGCTTCCGTAGAGGGCGTTAACTGTACGGACACTGCAGAACGGTTGTGTTGAGTTGTTGATACAGTTATATAAGGCACAGCAGGTAAGGGCTGCAGCATATTCCTGTGAACAACTTTAAATAATAGAAAGGCGTTTGCCAACTCGCCTGCCAAGTGAGTCAGCTATGGCAAATATCCTTCCTATGAGGCAATCTATGAAAGAGGCCTATGTTTAGCTGTGGACCTTGGATAGCTTGTAATTATTGAACAGAAATAGTTGTAATTAATGAATGCTTAATTAATATATCTTATCTATTAAAATCTTTTCAGATTACCCATCTGAGGATCGCGAACGTCTAGCGTTGGACGTGCTGCCGAGCTGCCACCATCCCATAGCGGTGGCTGTGAATAAACGGGCCTGGTTCAGTGTGGTCTCGTACCTGCGGCTCGACCCTAGGGACTTAGTTGGCCGCTATGCAAGCAACCTGAAGAATACCTACATCATCGGCTACACGCCCACTGAGGTATGCATTTTTGTGTTTTAAGAATGCAGGTATATTGAACACTATTTTATATTTAGTTACTTGATTTAAGATAAGCGATTCGAGTATAAAACTTTATGCTTTAGGGTTTTTTCAAGGTCGATATCACAACGATGTGAGTATATTATTTGCAGAAAATTACAGCTTTACAAAGATGATCTTTATTTAGTTCACTACAGAGCACAATTATAATTTTTAATGACTGTTTTTTTAGAGCGAAGATAATCCCTCCATAGCATTTTACAAAATTATGAATCAGAGTTATCTTTAAGGTCGAATACAACCATTATTATAATAAGCTAAAATACTTTATTTAAGCATAATTATAATGGAATATATAGTCTTGAATGAAATGTTGTTAAAATATAAAAAATAAGAAACTACAAAATAGATAATGATTTGTTAGATTTATACCAATACTACACTTGGAATAAAACTAACTTTACGGATTTTATCGCGTTTAATTTGAACTTTTTTAATTCTTGACGTTTCGGGCACTTTACAGCACCCTTACACACGGGTGTGATCGAGGTGTTTGACGTCCTAATGTAATTAAAAGTTGAAGGTAACCAGCACCCTTGGACACGGGGGTGATCGAGGTGTTTGACGTCCTAATGTAATTAAAAGTTGAAGGTAGCCTTTGTTGACTATGACACTAGAGCGTCAAATATTTTGTCCCCCCCCCCCTTTCCCCCTCATTTTTCATTGCATGTGATGATGCCCGTGCTACTAAAAATTGAGCGTAACTTTGTGCGCAACATATTAAGGTCGCAGAGCCCATCTATTAGTACATAGAAGTGTTTGTCCGCTTTCCCGGCTGGATGGCACAGAGTAACGTCGTGTGCGTGTGCAGAGTGCGTGGAACGTGGTGGCGAGCGTGGTGCGCGCCAACCCCGAGGCGCTGGGCGCGCCGGCGCTGGCGCAGGCGCTGGACGCGCTGCGCTCGCCCGACCTGCTGCACGTCACCAGGGACGAGTACTTCACCTTCCTCACGCCGGAGGGCGAGCTCTACGACAAGAGTGTCGTGCCCGGGTAACACAACTAATCCTTCTTCTTTCTTTTTTCCTTAAAAAATACTTTACCTCCACTCTAGGAATTTCTCCTGTATCGTGGGGGCAGTTTACATACATAAATTTCACAAGGACAAACATCCAGACCCTGACGGTGGTGTGTTTTTCCTAGTGTAATGGGGTTAAAAGTGGTGGTATTGGGATTAGTGGTGCTAGGAATAATGAACGCAATTAATAAAGGGCAGGGGATGCTCTTCAAACTAGAAATAAGTTCTTTCCGATTGGCTCGGTTCACTGGGGCTTCAGAGATTTTACGTTCCTTTGTATTTTCTATCGTCTTTACCACGGGGAGTGCTCTGAGGATTTGTTTGGATTAATTCCAACCGCTAAATTTCACCAACGCACATTGCGACAGAACTTACGTTACCGTTCACATCATCTGGATGCTTGGCGGTCCACTACTGTGCCTTTCACTAAGAGTTTTCTTCCTCGCACGACTACTTCGTGAAATCGTTTACTACCGGCGACTTTTCCAGACTGAAACGACTTCTGGACCTTCAAGAAACGAGCTTACTCCTTTTTAAAAGGCCGGCAATGCACCTACGATTCCACTGGTGTTGCAGTATCTTACGCGGATCTTGGCTGATTATTTTTTTAAATCTTTAATTTATTATAGTGTCGCCCTGCATTTTACATCTCAGTGCGAGACTATAGAGGTTATCAATTATTCAAATAATATGACTAGATCATTATAATTTTATCATACTGATCTATTATGTATAACAACAATCAAAACATGGCTTGGCCAATTTGATTGAAATACATAATGTAAACAACATTATTCACTTCAATCAATTCTTACTTTTCTTCTAATGCTGATACACTATGGATTTTATTATGCAGAAAAATCACTCTTCATATAACTTGCTGAGAGATTTTAAGCTTCCTTATATATAAATTCCTAAATGTAAATAGAACATTAATTGTGGCTAACAATTGAAATACAGTCTTTGTGAGATGAAGAAAAGTGACAGTCTTCCATTTGTAAAATGTTTATTTATTTTTTAATATTACTTAATAATATGACGAAATATTTTGAGACAATTAAAAAAGCACAGACCCAAACAAACAATTACTTTTTGTTATTTCTACTTAAACATTAGTCATTCAGATTAATTTTTAATAATCCTAGATCATAAAAAATAATAATCAATTAACAGAAATGAAGATAGCAAAGAGATGAATCTAAAGCGCGAAAGCAAGGCGTACAGCTACAAGGAACAGCTGGAAGAGCTACAGCTGAGGCGGGAGCTGGAGGAGAAACGGCGCCGTGAGGGAAAAGTTAAGGAAGTAGGTTCTTTTATGGTTTTTTTACTCGCATGTTTATGGATTTTTTTATTGTTACTGTATTAGCTTTGCAGCGTGATGTTGTGTGTGTTAGAATGTGTACGGGTCACAGTCTGATAAAAATTAATTAGGCCCAAACGTACACAGTAAAGTTAAACGTGGTAGAGCCATGGTGCAGCTACATTATGGTTGTAGCACGAATGGGTCGGCTCGGCCGGGGAAGGACCACGCTCTCACAGAATACCAGCGTAAAATAGCAGCTAAAACGATGTTGTGTTTCGTATGGTGAGTGTAGAGAACCGGAGACCCTTTTTACTGGAAACGAGGCATTCCATCTTAGTCCTCACGGGTGACAACGCATCTGCATTTTGATTCGTAATTGAAGATAGATGTAGATGTCTATGGGCCGCAGCAACCACTTACCATCAGGTGGACTGTGTGCTCGTTTGTCACCCTTATTCTATAAAAAAAAGTTTATTCACTATAGACAGTTACACAAAATATAATATACAGTTCCACACGAAACAATATAAAGTTAATAGCTATATCAAATTGAAATAGTAGAAATCGATAATATAAAACAAACTATAAAAGTTAGTATTCGCGAGATAATAACGGGGACATTACGGTTAGCCAGGCGACATGAGCTTCGCGTGTGATGTCGGTAAGCAGACTAACAAACGCGGTGCGAGGCCGAGGCGTTGAATGCGCCCGCGCAAGGAAAGTTTTTTCTAATGTCTCCTCTACACTACTCGCCAAGTAGATCGAAGTTGGACGAGGCGAATAGTGTAGCGAGGTACTTCGGTTCACTTCGTGCAACCTCGCTTCGCCTCGGACGACATCCGATTGCTGTCGGTTTTTTGCGCCAGAGTAAAAGGACTTCGCGAAGTACCCTGAAGTTAGACAAAGCGTCTCACTACACTACTCGGCTTACGCCAGTTATGAATATTTTATATATAAATATTAAATATGTAGCTTTCTACATAATTATTTATTTAGTTAACGCATTGACGTCGTACTGTTCACACAATTAGGTACCTATAACAGCTGCCTCTTGAACGTCATTCATGTTAAGGGTGCGGGAGACTCAAGACGATTGAGCTCTTCGCGAAGTAGTAGTGTGTGGTCACGTTCTTCGGACTGCGATCGACTTCGACTAGCACTTCGTCGAAGTTAATTCGCAAGTTGTGTAGAGGAAGCATAACGGTCAATGCACAACATAGCGAATGTAAATAATATTTTATTGAATATTTCTTTTGTATTGTGATAATTTTGTAACTATGTTATTTTATGACTGTAAATAGTTAGATATAAGTAAAGATGTAAGTTTATATCGGTGTAGTATAATTTAGGCAATATATAAAATAAAATATAAGTGTATAATATGTATATGTACGTATAAGTTACAATAAGTAGGGTACAGCTTTTAATCGATTTTTTTTTAATTCAGTACGTTTCCGCAGGTGACGTTATCCGCTAAACAGAAGGAAGCAATCAAACTTCAGTTGGCTAAGGAGAGTGCGATCCGTGAGAGACTCACCACGGTATGTATAATATACGATGCAGTCGTGTGAAGCATCAGTAAAATTATAGCTGTAGCATTTTTATAATGCTCGAGGTCATAAACTAGTTAACAACCCACCCGATTAAAGGTAGCTTCCAACAGTCCATGGACACCTGAACCTCTAAGTAAAGAAGACCACAGATACCTAACTATCCCCGTGGACTAAGATAAAATGCCTTGCATCCCATAATCATACTGGCTTTCTTGACCTTTCAACTGATCACTTTTCGATATAAACAATAACCAAAAACACACTGTAATGCTTGCCTAAATTTTAACGTAAATTATTGTCATTAATGTTGCCCAAAGAGAACCGTTATCCACCCCTTTTTTATCAATTATAATGATAAAAATAATATTGTTTCTTTTATCTAAATTTTTAGGTTATGTGCTATATATTTTGTTTTTCTTTTGATACATTAGCGTTGTCATTTAGAATATAGTTACTTGTTCGAATAAAGAACGAATTGCGACGATAGTCAGTGTTAGCTCTGGATTTGCCAAGAGTCCATTACGTATACTAAGTTATTTGCGTGGTGTACAGATGCTAACTTGCTCTAATAAAGAAGGATAGTCGATGAAATCACAAACAATTTTTAGCAGACACATAATGTCTGATTTAGCTGTCTTCTGTCTTATAGTAAAAATAAGATAAAGTAATATAAGTAAAACAAAAATATTTTCTTGCACCCATAATCATTTTGATACATTTAAACTGTATCTCAGAAACCTATTTTTTATGGATTTAATGCGAGATATATGCACGTTATATTGCGGATTTCAAATTTATATTTCGACGAAATTTTCCATTTTATACAATGACAACATAACATCCTTTATGTTTATTTTTTTTGTACAAGAAATTTATACAAATTATATAAATATAATATATATATATATATATATATATATATATATATATATATATAATATATATATATATATATATATATATAATGACGTATATATATATATATACGTCATTATATATATATATACATACGTCGCGTAATAATTAATCTGGCTTGAAGGACCAATGTTTAGGCCGATATGAAAACGGGTGTTTCATGAATTTAGTAACTATTTATTTATTAAGGTGCAAGCAATTTCTAAGTTATTTAAAAAAATTAGGTAATGTAAAAGACATTGTTATATTTAATACTTGTAAATATTTACAAATTTTGTGATACTGATATATAATTGTTAAATCAGGAATAAGAGTGAAAGCAAAAGAAGTGTATAAGTTGTTTTCTAGTTGAGGAAACCTAGAGAATATAATGATAATCTACCCAGGTTGTTATATAGGTCCGTTTCACAATAAGTCTGATGACTAAAATGCTATGTCCTCTGACAGATAACAGAACAATAATTACAAAAATCGTCAACGTTTTAAATGCGAACATCATCATTGGCCTGTGGCAGTCCACTTTAGGACATACCCCTCTTCTAAGGCGTACCACTTATCTTCGACATCTCGTATTCAGTTGTTGCCAGCCGCTTTGCGCAGATCGTAACTCCATTTAGCTAATGGGCGTCTCATACGTTCCATTAAACGCGAACCTTAATACTTTTCCAAGCGAGGTAATTAAGGCAAAATAAATAGTACTTTCCATAATATATTTTGATTATATACTTGAAAACCTTTAATTTTGGTTAAAACGTTGTTAGTTTTTTAAAATAAAAAAGTGAACGTGTCTGTAAGTAGTATATATATATATATATATATATATATATATATATATATATATATATATATATATATATATATATATATATATATATATATATATATATATATATATATATGTGTAGGAAGTATAGTGGGTATAGTACAGAGACTGATTTTGTAGTTAGGAATTAATAAAAAAAAATAATTATCCAACGAGTCAAGGATAAACTAGTAACGGTATACGACAAGCGCACCGTTCCACGTCAGAGCCAAGACTGTCCTAACGGCGGCAGCTCCGTCCGTTTTATACAAGCTAAACGGGCGCCACCGCAGGTGCAATGGCGCAGGTGTGCGGAGCAAGTGTTATTTACAAGAATTCTGTCTAGCTACACCGACGCCGCCGCACGTGCAATGGTGCACGTGCCGTCATATATAATATATATATATACATGTGTGTGTGTATGTGTTTGTTGGGGCGCAGTTAAACGATCGCGTGGTGCGCGCGGTGCGGCTGCTGGAGGCGGTGCAGGCGGGCTCGGAGATGGCGGTGTGCGAGCAGGCGCGCCACCTGGTGGCCGCCGTGCTGGGCGCGCTGCGCAGCCCGCTCGCCGCCCCGCTCCTCGCCGCCGCCTACCTGCGCCTGCGCCCGGCGCTGCTGCCGCAGCACGCGGTGCTCGGCGACACCGTGGCGCGCGTCGCCCTCAGGTACGCAGCCCGCTCGCAGCCCGCTCGCCGCCCCGCTCCTCGCCGCCGCCTACCTGCGCCTGCGCCCGGCGCTGCTGCCGCAGCACGCGGTGCTCGGCGACACCGTGGCGCGCGTCGCCCTCAGGTACGCAGCCCGCTCGCAGCCCGCTCGCCGCCCCGCTCCTCGCCGCCGCCTACCTGCGCCTGCGCCCGGCGCTGCTGCCGCAGCACGCGGTGCTCGGCGACACCGTGGCGCGCGTCGCCCTCAGGTACGCAGCCCGCTCGCAGCCCGCTCGCCGCCCCGCTCCTCGCCGCCGCCTACCTGCGCCTGCGCCCGGCGCTGCTGCCGCAGCACGCGGTGCTCGGCGACACCGTGGCGCGCGTCGCCCTCAGGTACGCAGCCCGCTCGCAGCCCGCTCGCCGCCCCGCTCCTCGCCGCCGCCTACCTGCGCCTGCGCCCGGCGCTGCTGCCGCAGCACGCGGTGCTCGGCGACACCGTGGCGCGCGTCGCCCTCAGGTACGCAGCCCGCTCGCAGCCCGCTCGCCGCCCCGCTCCTCGCCGCCGCCTACCTGCGCCTGCGCCCGGCGCTGCTGCCGCAGCACGCGGTGCTCGGCGACACCGTGGCGCGCGTCGCCCTCAGGTACGCAATCTCCCAACAGTGCCTACGCCACGTCATGTCGTGCTCACGTTCTCACAGCCTGCCGCACTACGCACCGCTGGGTAAAACACCATTAGATATGTGTCATTCATTAATTTCTAGTTACCCGATCATTCAAGTATTGATTCGTCTTACGAACCGGGTCATTCATGTCGATCATCCAAATGAAACATTTCGAGATTCATTAATCTGTGATCTGTGAAACCCTTTTGTCGTAGGAGGGCTAGAATCCAGAGCCGTAAAGCCAGTTTAAAAAAAATGTAGGTCCTGTCAATCATTTGATCCGAAAAGTCCAAAAAATGTGATTGCGTTTATCAATACTTTGATGCGATCCGGATCAAATGAACGAATCATTTACAATTGACACAAACATGTCTAGTACACAGTCTGCTACACCACGCATACACAATCTAAGAACATACAGCATGACTAATTGACATTCACAATACGTGCAAAACATTAAATCATAGATCACAGATTATAAATAATGTTCTATCATTCATTTGTTCCAAATCGTCTCAAAAAAATTATTGCAATCAAAAAATAATCAATCTTTCAAATTTCAAATCTTTTACAATATCATGACGAATAAAATGACTAACGTGGAAAGAAATTAAAAATAATAAAGTGATAAATAGATAGATCAATAAATCACAGGTTATTAATAATATTCTGTCATTCATTTATTCCGGATCGTTTAAAAAAATTATTGCAAGCATCAATACATCATGTGATTTTTTCAAAATAATTAATTATAATAAATAGTCAACTATCCATTAAATGAAACTATTTTTTTACGGACTTTATCGCGTTTAATTTAACTTTTTAATTTCCGACGTTTCGGGTGCTTTTCAGCACCCTGGTCACGGGGGGGGGGGGGACTGAGGTGTTTGACGTCCCGATGTCATAGTTAGCCTGGCTACCTTCAGTTTTTGAATATTAATTTTTGATTTGATCTACGCAGAACGAAACGGCACCGACTAATAAGTAATAGTTAGACTGTGACGCACGGCTCGCACTCACCGTGGCGCGCGTCGCGCTGAAGTACCACCTAATGGGTGATACACATTAGTGGTAGAAATTTGATAATAATTCATTAAATGGTTAAGTTTGTATATTAAAAAAGCTGCATTTCATTCTCAAATACATATCTATAATATTATTTATTAATATAATAAAGTGGAAGAGTTTTTTGTTGTTTCTTTAAACATGCTAATCTCTGAAACTACCAGTCCAATTTGAATTTTTTTTTTTGTATATTATAGCCACATTCATGAGAAATTGTATAGGCTATCTATCGTTAGAATACACCTCTCACTAACACTAACTCATACTAACTAGCTGAGTTTTGTTAAGCAAGTCGGAAGAAAAAACGCTGCCGAACTGCTTTAACTGCGTGCGCTGACGTAATTGTTAGTGATACGTAAATACTATGTTGTACAAAAATATTCCATCCATCCGCATCTAAAAAAAGTCCGCGATACCATATACCTATTTCCTATATATAAGCCACAATATAGTATTTTGTGACAAAACTTATTAGGTATGGCGTACTAATCCGTACGAACGAAAGTTACTTCATCATCAAGACAATTTTATGAAGATAAACTTTGCTCTTTATAGCATATTATTTGGACGCATAGTTTAAGAGATAATGAAATATTAAAAGAAACCTAGCCGCCCGATGAGAACAGTTTCTCTCGGTCACCAGTGAATGTGAAAATAATAAAACGAGGTGTCGCGGGGCATAGCTAATTAATACATAAGCTAATTAATATATCTAATATCAAATCAAATATACAAAATATAAAGTTAACGGATTTTTGCTTAACATACTTCTCACACTATAAAAAAAGTTATTTTTTAGTCATTATTTGTTGGCCGCGGTAGCTTGTGATCTAAGCACTCGCTGTAAATATCATAATACGTGAACATTTCAGCACCAATGAAATTGTTAATAGCAGTTTTAAGTGTATTAACCAAGTACTCGGCGGTGAAAGAAAACATCATTTAAAAACCTACATGTCTAAAAAAATTTAAAAATATTTTAAAGATATCTGACGTCCACAACACGCATTCGTGCAGCGCGGCGGATATTTTCCTGCTCTAAAACTCTCTTAGAAATGAGAGGAGACTTATGTCCAGAAGTGGTACATGTATAAGTCGCAACTTCAATTTACTTTATTTTCTTTGCTACATTTTAGAATCCTATGGTGACTATCTTTACTCTGTGTGATTGTTTGACCACAAACTGTTATGTTTGACATAAACAAATGACAAATTATAATGAGTAATTTTTTCAGCCTTTGACGGATCGCCAGAAGTTACCTCGTCTGTATGTTAACAGACATCACGCAGAAAAAAGATTGACACAGAATGAGTTGACATGTTATCTTTACAACTACTACTAGGCTGTGATTAATTACATTATTTAATCAATAATTGTGTAGTTTTTATTAGACTATAATATTTTCTGGTTTATTGAAGCGGTAAAATCTTGTATCTCAGATTACACAAGCCACAATGCGACTTGGACCCGTGCTGGGAGGAGGAGGATTTGAACAAAGCTGCCATCCGCACCATCAACCTAGTGCATGCGGCCACCGCTGAGCCCAAGTCGGACTCCGACGACGCACCGCCCAAAAACAACTATTTCACAGCTCCTGGCTTTTGTTATGTTTTCCCATTATTGAAACAAGGTAAATGAGAAATTGTTGAACATTATTATTTAAGGTAGGTAAGGTCTAAAATAAGATATTTTTGTCCAAACTGGGGTTAATTTATTGTTGTGTCGTTGGCAGGTTTGACGGGTGCGGCGCAAGGCGACGAGGCGGCCATGCTGCACGGCGTGGCGGTGGTGGCACGCCACGCGCGCCTGCGCGGGGACCCCGCCGACCCGCGCGACCTGCTGCGCCCTTCGCTCTTCCCCATCGACCACATGTTCCGTCTGCTCATCGACCTCATCAGTGAGCGCACACCTGCCTACTTACTCATCGTTATATGCCACCCAAACACTTCTATGTATCTACTAAACGGCCACTACGGTACTAATACATTACTTACTAAGTTACAGTCAATTCGTAAGCAAAGATTGAGTGAACGAGAAGACTAGATATTCATGTTGTAAACCGAGAACTTTGTTTTTGACATTCTAACTCTGATTTGATTTAATGTGACTCAGGAATTACTAATTATTTATCTACGCACTTCCTTATTTCAAATAATTATCTAACTTTATTTCGTATTAGCCTAAAAGCAATAACTGTTGTAATAATAGAACTGAGTGGTACTTATATTACCGTGCCAGTTGTCCGTCCAGCCGGCGCCGACGCGATCCACAACCGTGACCACGTTTTTGTTTTGAACTTCAAGTCTAGTAGTGTACATAGAAGTCTTTGGAAAATACCCACGTTGGCGACGGGCAGCGGTGTCTAAATTGCGAGACTGGTACTGCAATCGTCAATCCGCCGGCTAATCGTGACGATAAATAAATAAGGGACTGGATTTTTAAGGCTTAATATGTTGCTTTCGCTATCAGTCACTTCTAATAAAAACTGAAAGATGCTGGTTTGTTGTGTGTTAACTACGTTACATATAATATGAAATTATTTAAAATCAATTATACAATGTAATACACAAACCTATTTAAAAGTAAAGTAAAGTAAAGTTGCAGCCTATTTACGTCCCACTGCTGGGCACAGGCTTACTTTCATTTCTGAGAGGGTTTTAGGGCAAGGAAATGTCCACCGCGCTGCCCCAATGCCTGTTGGCGAACTTCACATGTCATCGAAATATTTATTTTTTATTTTTCAGACATGCAGGTTTCCTCATGATGTTTTCCTTCATCGCCGAGCACGTGGTAAATCAGCACTTAAAATTGCAATTAACAATTTCATTGGTGCCGGCGGGGATCGAACCCGGGTTGCTCGAGTACTGTGAAGCTTACAGCGAGCACTAACCATCTGAGCTACCACGGCTCTATTAACCTATTTAAATGTACACTTTATATGCCACTATATATTATAGTGTGCGTATAACTGTGTATATGCGTGTAGCAATGTGTACGTGTGTATTTGCGTGCGCGTGCAAGTTTATTTACGGGCAGCTGTGTATGCGTGTAGCGCTGTGTGCGTGCAGCTGCGTTTGCGCATACGTGCTCGTGTAACTGTGGGGTAAAGTTTGAAAATAGGCTGAATTGAAGAGGGGGGGAGGGGGGGAGTTGTAGAGTCGTACCCCCACACTTCCTTTTCCTGCTGGACGTGCTTAGATCTTTTTAATAAATTTTTAAAATTCTGATTTATGGGGGTAGAGAGTTAGGGAAGGGGAAGCTCCACGCTACTCAACGTGGTGCAGTCGAGGCCTAGCCTGGTTGACGAGTACTTTAATTTATAAACATAATTTATAGCTGCCACCATTTGTAAGAAAGGATCTTTGCGAAATTTCGCAGTATTCCGCCGCCACAAATACCCCACTATGGCATCACCAAAATTATCAGGATGATTATATTTGTCTTTTTTGAAAAAACGTTTCACGGCTCTCCATTGTGACTCTATTCTTTGTGTATGAGTCCCATCTGGGGCCACGAATGGGTTGTCAGGGTCCGAGTGGTTCACTTTTTTGTGGGTGTACCCATGTTCCCCTAGGCAGTCATAAGCTCTCCAACAATCCGTATGAATTGTGGTGCCTATCTCTGTATGTTTTTTAATTAAGGGCACCAAAACCTCTGCGGAACGTATGTTGTCAGGGCACACCTATAATCGCAAATCCTTAGACCCATCCTCAATCATCCCAAGGACCCAATTTTTTTTTTATAGGATAAGAGTGACAAACGAGCACACAGTCCACCTGATGGTAAGTGGTTGCTGCGGCCCATAGACATCTACATCTATCCTCTGTTACAAATCAGAATGTAGATGCGTTGTCACCCGTGAGGACTAAGGTGGAATGCCTCATTTCCAGTAAAAAGGGCCTCCGGCCACCTGCACTCACCAAGCGAAACGCAGAGGTAAACTTCTACTTCACGCTGGTTTTCTGTGAGGTCGTGGTACTACCCCGGTTCGAGCCGGCCCATCCGTGCGACAGCAAAAGCTGCCGCGTGGCTCTACCACTGTTGAAACCCAATGGCCCTCAATATGGCGTCCTACAACAACCATAGCTTAAATTACAGTAATTAGAAGCTTAAGGGAATAAATAGAACGAGATAAATCAAAATTACCTTTGTTATACATCCGTTTCCCAAATTTTAACTCATTATGGGCCTCCAATTTTTCCACTGTGCTCCATTTTTTCCAAATAATAAATAACTATGGATTCCCGACAATAGCTGAACCAACCAACAATTGTGGTTCTGTCCAAACAATGCTCTGTCTCTTCCTTCTACGGATCCTCGTTCATCGTCATTTCGTAGCTCCATTTGTGAGCATAAGCATATATTAAATAAAATATGTGCAGCAACGGAATATGAATATTTTCAAAAAGTGTTCCGGCTGTCCGTGATATTTTTCCTTTTAGCTTACATTGGTCTTTCGTGCAAATCCAAGCACCAAACGATTTGTTAGCCAATATTGCCAGTCGCATGGGTGTGTGGTGCGTACGGCATATTTTTTGAGAGTGCACCATTCCATTCGATTCAGCAAAAGCAACACACTGTTCATTGGTTCCAAGATTTTTGATGATTTTTGATAAATTCCACATTTTAATCACTTCCTCCGAATTTTAAACGTCGATAAACAAACGGCTCGTCATCCATAAATAAATAGTGATCAGACACTGTAGACTCAGTCGCAGTCACAGCTCCATCCAACCCTGGGATCGTAGACGGCCCGGGTTCCAAATCTCGGTCGGTTGTTGACATAGCTTGCTCATCGGTGTACAGTGAGTAAGCCAAAGTCGTCCAGAGATGCAATCCAATCCGTGTCCAAGAGGGTAGCCAAGTTGTCGAAAAATAGCAAGCAATTGGTGTCCAGAGGGGTAGCGAAGTCGTCGAAAAATAGGAGAAAGCAAATAAAAACGTAAGGGAGCAGCATATTCACGTAAACTCGGAAGCAACGGAATGACGTAAAGTATATCTGTCAATGTCAACGAAATTGCCGGGGTTGAGTTTGAAAGCAAGTCGCCTGTATTTTACCGACTTAGCGATTCATTTTATGCATTTTGAGATGATTGATAGATGCAACGTTAAAACTTTAGAATTTAGTTCAATATACGATCCATTTCACATTTAGTTAGTGATTTACCAAAAGTTTTAAAAGATAATTAAAAATACTTTGACGCCGTTCCCGCAGCAAAAATCGCATGGTCGTGCTTCAGATAAGCCCTCTTGACCCCACTACAGTGACAAAATCCTCAAATTCAGGCGACTCGATTTCAAACCCAACCGCAGCTGCGTGTGCGTGTGCGTGTAAAAGGTGTGTACGTGTGCGTGTAGAGGTGTGTACGTGTGCGTGTAGCGGTGTGTGTGCGCGCAGGCAGCACGAGCGGGCGCGTGCAGGCCGCGTGCACGGTGGCGCTGCTGGACACGGCGCAGTGCGCGGCGCGAGGAGACCTCTCGCTTGAGGACCTCACCTGTTTGCTGGACGGACTGCAGAATCCCATGGAGGTGAGCCTTGATCCACTGATACACATCTCACTTTTACACTTACTGTATAATGATGCTTTTAGGTTATGTTAGAATGAATATTATTATTCTATTATAGGTTATGTTATAATTAACATTTCTATTATTAATACATTAACACACTAGCAGATAAAAGCTCAGTGTATCCATCTTAATGTTGAGAGATTTTATCCAATCTGCTCTTGAAGGCGTTCAATGTACGAGTATTAATTAGATTTTGCGGTAGTTTATTCCAATTTGTAACAACACGATTTGAAATAAAATTCCTCATGAGATTCCGCTTTGCAACCCTTTAGCAGAGATTAAGTCGCTGTTCTTCCAGAGGTTTGTTGCTACCTCAATATGTATTATATATTTTGGATCAGGCACATCACAATTTATTGAGAGTATATAATGATGTTGAGTTGTTGATCAGTCAATTATGTTCATTTAATTATTATGGCGTGTAGTGGCGTTTAAGAATATCCACTACCCATATCTTCCCGTGGGTGTCGTAAAAGGCGACAAAGGGAAACAGGCAGGGGATGGGCAGCAGCATCTTCCTGGTAACGGCAAAAATACAATAAAAAACTGCGGTTGCCAACCCGCTCGCCAGGCGTGGCAACTATGGCAATATACCCCCCATGATGAAAGTTGCGAAGAGGCGGCCCCCAGTCCCCGGCGGCCCCGCTATTCCTGGCTACGGTGGCGACCATGGTAACGGCGGGGCAGGGGGTGCTAAGAATCTCCGGTGGAGGTTCGGTTGCCACCTACAACGACTCGACCTGGCAACATACAACGCACGCACCCCGAGGACTGACGAGAAGATTGTGGAGCTGGAAGAAGAGATAGACAAGTTACGCTGGCATATTATAGGATTATCCGAAGTCCGAAGAGAGGGGGAGGACACGGTAATCCTCGAATCCGGCAACTTGCTCTATTACCGGGAGGGCGACCATCTGTCCCAAGGAGGTGTCGGATTTATCGTCCACAAGTCTCTCGTTAACAACGTTGTAAAGATTGAGAGTGTGTCGACGAGGGTTGCGTACCTTATACTCAGAATCACCAAACGGTATTCGCTGAAGGTCATACAGGTTTACGCACCAACCTCGGCACACCCCGATCAGGAGATGGAGGAAATGTATGAGGATATCTCTAGAGCCATGCATTCCTCCAAAACCCAATATACGGTGTTAATGGGAGACTTCAATGCAAAACTAGGCACAAGAGAGAACGGTGAGCTGAAAGTGGGGAAATTTGGGATAAGGCAACGGAATCCAAGGGGCCAGCAGCTGGCCGACTTCATGGAGAAAGAGAGACTCTTTATGATGAACTCTTTCTTCCAGAAGCGGCCCCACAGGAAGTGGACCTGGTCGAGCCCCGACGGTTCGACAAAAAATGAGATTGACTTCATTATGACGACCAGACGACAACTGTTCAGTGACATCTCAGTGATCGCGAGGGTGAAAACCGGCAGCGATCACCGAATGGTTAGAGGCACACTGAACCTAAACGTTAAGTTGGAGAGGTCTCGTCTATTGAAGTCAACGCTCCGTCCCCCTTGTGCTCTAATGCAAAGTCCCGAAACCTTTCAGCTCGAGTTACAAAACCGTTTTCAGTGCCTAGAAGACTGCAATGAAGTGGACGATTTGAATGACAAACTCGTGGAAACTGTCCATGCGGTCGGAGCTAAGTTCTGCAAGACCCGCCGCAGAAGAACACAAAAACTCTCCGATCACACTCTTAATCCCATGGCTGTTAGACGGGAGATGAAGCTACATTCTTACAGATTTGACAGCATACAGGCAACTGAACAGACAGATCTCCAAATGCATGCGGCGGGACTTACGCAACTTCAATACAGCTCGTATTGAAGAAGCGATCGAGCGGAACCAAGGCTCCAAAGTCTTTGCCAGAGATTTGTCTGCCAGAAAGAACCAACTGTCAAAGCTGAAGACCGAATGTGGCAGCATTGTTTCCGGGGCACCTGAGATTTTGAGTGAGATTGAGAGGTTCTATGGGCAGCTGTACACGTCATCGTAGGAGCCGCACGCAAGTGTGAGTAACGATCCAAGAGCGAGTCTTATCCGACATTATTCCGATGATATCCCGGACGTCAGTCTGAGCGAGATTAGAATGGCTCTTCAGCACCTTAAAAACGGCAAGGCCCCAGGCGAGGATGGAGTTACAGCGGAGTTTCTGAAAGCGGGTGGAAAACCGGTACTTGAAGTCCTTCAGAAGCTCTTTAATTCCGTCCTCCATAGTGGCATTACACCGGAAGCGTGGAGCAGAAGTGCGGTGGTCTTGTTCTTCAAGAAAGGCGACAACGCTCTCTTGAAGAACTACAGACCGATTTCCCTTCTGAGCCGCGTCTACGTGCTGTTTTCGAGAGTCATTATGAATCGTCTCGCGCGCAGACTTGACGACTTCCAGCCTCCCGAAAAAGCCGGTTTCCGAAAAGGCTTTAGCACCATAGACCACATACATACCCTTCGGCAAATTGTACAGAAGTCCGAGGAGTACAATTTGCCACTATGTCTGGCGTATGTGGACTATGAGAAAGCCTTTGATTCCGTCGAAATTTGGGCGGTGCTGCAGTCCCTTCAGCGATGCAAAGTTGACTGTCGGTATATCGAAGTGTTGAAGTGCTTGTACAGTAGGGCTACGATGGCTATCCGAGTACAGAACCAGAGTACGAAACCTATCCAATTGCAGAGAGGTGTAAGACAGGGTGACGTCATATCCCCGAAACTCTTTACCGCTGCATTGGAAGATGTTTTCAAGCTTCTGGACTGGAAAAGATACGGTATCAACATCAATGGCGAGTACATCACTCACCTTCGATTTGCCGACGATATAGTCCTTATGGCAGAATCGCTGGAGGACCTAAGCACTATGCTCAATGACCTCAATAGTGTTTCCCAACGGATAGGTCTTAAGATGAACATGGACAAAACAAAGATCATATTTAATGTCCATGTCACACCTATGCCGGTAGTTGTTGGGAACACTAAGCTCGAAGTTGTTGACGAGTATGTTTACCTGGGACAAATAGTCCGACTAGGTAAGTCCAACTTCGACCGAGAGGTCAATCGACGGATTCAACTCGGTTGGGCAGCGTTCGGGAAATTACGGCACATCTTCTCGTCAGGTATACCTCAAAACTTGAAAACGAGACTGTACATCCAGTGCGTGTTGCCAGTGATGACATACGGAACTGAGACGTGGTCCTTCACTGCTGGCCGGATGAGGAAGCTCAAAGTCGCTCAGCGAGCTATGGAGAGGGCTATGCTCGGAGTTTCTCTGCGTGATAAACTCAGAAATGCGGATATCCGCAGTAGAACCAGAGTGACCGACATAGCGCAACGGATTAGTAAGCTGAAGTGGCAATGGGCCGGCCATATAGCTCGAAGAACCGACAACCGATGGGGAAGAAAGGTTCTTGAGTGGCAGCCTCGTACCGGCAGGCGAAGTGTAGGGCGTCCCCCCACTAGATGGAGTGACGATCTGGTAAGATATGCAGGAAGTCGATGGATGCAGGTGGCTCAGGACCGTGCTTTGTGGCATTCTTTGGGGGAGGCCTATGTTCAGCAGAGGACTTGTGAAGGGCTGTAATGATGATGATGATGAATTATTAGCTTGTGACCTGTTGTAATAATCTGTCTAAGATTTCTTTAACAAGCTTTTTAAAATTGACATCTAATTTGTGCAGGTTGTTCGTGACGCAGCGCTACGAGCGTTACTGTGTGTGGTGGATTGTTTGCCACCATTGCTGGAAGATTTGGACCATGGATTGGATATCACGAAGCACCTTTATGTTGCTACTTTCGACGTGTCCGAAGATAATAGGTTAAAATTTAAACATTTGTTTCTTGTTATTGCTAGATTTGTACAAAAATTTTGTAATTTTTTTTATAATATTCACATTAACAATCTAAGAAGGTTGTTAATGTGTAAAAGTGTGTTCAAAATGGCGCTCTTTGAAGATAAAATCACTATAATTAATAGAATCAGGCGTACTCCTAAATCCATATTGTTATCTTTAGACGTTGATAGTCTTTTCACAAATGTCCCATCCCCTGACTGTTTGCGTATACTCGCAGATCTCTTTGATACACAACCTAGCCAACGACCACTCCTTTAAAGTCTTACATACCTGTAATAAAGGGCTGCGGCTGTGTGTGCTGGAACAGTTAGAGATATTAAAAAGTAATAATACCGTAGCATTGCTGAATGAATAAACAAATGTTACTAACTCACCTCTCTTAAATATCTTCAAGCCTGCTCTCTAATAATAGAGCGCCTCGTAATATGGTCGTTTGTCACCCTCACGGTGATCGGCGATTGGTTGCGTGGTTAGAGGGTGGGCGTTGCGCGGCGGTTTGTTTTTAATTTTACAAACGGCTGCGTAAGTCCAGCGGTGATTGGTCGCATGTTTTATCGCATGACGCGGTCGCTCGCTCCTTAGGTAGAGAGCGGTTGCATCTTCGGTTTGTATAAAAGGCACTTGTTTTGACTCGCCGCTCACTTAGCGGTTAGCCACCGTAGGGTCTATATCACCTGAGGATGCCTCGTGTAGAGGCGAAACACGTGTCGTATTATCGTCAGTGGTGTGTCTTGCCTAGTGTAGTGGTGTTGGGAGTAGCGGTGCTGGGATTAGTGGTGACGGGGATAGTGCACGCAATTGAGGGAGGGCGGGAGGTGCTTCTTCATACTAGGTAAGACACATCATTTTATTTTATAATGCGGATATTTGCGAAGTAAATTTTTGTAAAAGCTTTTTTGACAAAATCACTGTTGGGCAGAACGCCGCCAAACAATGATTTTGAAGGCAAAATCACTGGTGAGCATTGCGCCGCCATTTTGAATTTGTTTCATTACGTTACGTTTTGTGGTGGTGCAGGAATTTCCACTACCCCATTATATCTTGTTAGAGGCGACAAAAGAAACTGAACCAGAAGATGGGCAGCAGCATCTTTCTTATAACAGTTGTTTAAAAATAAAATACGGCGGTTGCCGACCCGTTTGTCAAGCGTGGCAACTATGGCAAATATCCCTGCTACGTGGTAATCTATAAAGGAGGCTTATGTTCAGTAGTGGAGTTTTGATAGGCCGTAAAGTGTAATGTGGTAATGGTATTGTTGCGTGTTGCGCGTACAGGAAGCTGGCGCTGGAGGTGTGGGGCGGGGCGGAGCGTGCTCAGGCGTGGGTGCGCGACGCGCAGGAGCAGCTGGCGCTTGCGCTGGTGCGCTCGCTGCAGCAGCGCGCCGAGCCGCTGCAGCGCGCCGCCGCCGACGCGCTCGCCGCCCTCGCGCTCCCGCACACCGCGCCCGACCGCGTCATGCACATGCTGCACCAACTCTACGACGAGAAGCTGCCGGTGACCAACATACAAATACAAATAGCGCCGCGAATCCTAAACACTTACACCTATACTGCCAGACGGGTGTTTCACTTTTTTAACTACCTCGTTAGTCTAATGATCGTAAACAAAATAGCTGATCACGAGGTCCCGGATTGGAATTCCGAACGAACCAAAAAAAGTAGTCATCGAGTTTTTCTATTACGATACTAACGATGACAATGACAGCCCGGATTCAAAAAGTTGACGTTGTTTCGTCACCTCCCTGCCCTGCGTCCTGCGCATGTAATTAGTATTCACAAATTACAATAGATATCTTACTATTTTTTTTTATAGGATAGGGTGACAAACGAGCACACAGTCCACCTAAGTGGTTGCTGTGGCTCATAGACATCTACATCTATCCTCGATTGCGAATCAAAATGCAGATGCGTTGTCACCCGTGAAGACTAAGATGGAATGCCTATTTTCTATTAAAAAGAGTCGCCGGTTCTCTAAACTCACCATACGAAACATAGCAGCGGTAAGCTGCTATTTTACGCTGGTACTCTGTGAAACACAATTTCTCGGGAAGCCCATAGGAAGGGAGCTTCGAAAGAAGCGCTTTGTGCCAAACCCGATCGAAGGCCTTCGCAATGTCCAGACTAACGGCCAACGCCTCCCCCTTGGACTCTACTGCCTCCGCCCATCTATGGGTCAGGTAGACCAGAAGATCACCAGCTGATCGACCCCGACGAAAACCGTATTGGCGGTCACTAATCAGCTGGTGATCCTCAAGGTACCGGATGAGCTGGCAGTTAATAATGGATTCCATTATTTTGGAGAACAAGGTGATCGCGATAGGCCTATAGTTGGATGGGTCTGAGCGGTCGCCTTTTTTAGGGATCGGGTGGACAAAAGCTGTCTTCCATGAATTCGGGACTACGCCTTGGGAGTAGGAGTACCGGAAAAGACGCGTTAGGACCGGTGCCAACTCCGGAGCACACATCCTCAGCACAATTGGGGAGATTCCGTCAGGCCCACTCGACTTCTGGATGTCCAGGGAGAGCAGTGCTTTGCGAACCGAGCGCTGTGAGAACAGCACATCCGGTATGGAGCACTCACACCGCGGGATGGTCGGCGGTGTTTTGCCCCCGTCATCAAGAGTCGAGTTGGACGCAAAAAGGGAGCCTAAAAGGTCGGCTTTGTCTTTGTCCTTCCCCGGTCAAGCCGACCCATTCGTGCTACAACCGTAATATAGATGCAGCATGGCTCTACCACGTATAAAAAATCCATGATGACGTGTGAGTTTTCTGAGCCCCAGATATTTTGCTTATTGACATCCCTCCGAGGTGGAAATGAGCTTCATCTGAAAAGATGATTTTTCGGTAAAATGCTCATCTTCGATCAAGTGGTCTTCGGCCCATTCAGCAAACCAAAAATGCATCGGATGCGACGCACGTCATGCGGCTTCAGCTTTTGCATTAATTGAACTTTGTACGCATTCATACCGAGATCTTTACTGTACACGCCCCTAGCTGTCCCGACAAAGGTCAAACATCCCGGGGCCCATCAGCGGTAGATTCGACGGATAACTAAGAACGTTTGACGCAAACATTTACCCAAAATTCTTCTCAAAGAAGTGCGTGAAATGTTCAATTCTTGAGAAACGATGGCGAGTTTATGTTGATGGTTGTTCATGCACACTCTGAGTAACAGCAGCGATGTTTTCGGTTGAGCGCACTGGACGAATACGTACACGGATAGTTTCATTCAACAACGATCCTGTTTCACGAACTCTTCACAAATTGATCCACAAACTTCACACACATCCTTGTAGTTTGAGTAGAGGACTCGCCACTTTGGAAGTCACGTAGAAAATGTCATCAAACCTTCCAACCTCAAGATAACTTATAGTTCCAATTCCAAACATTAGATGGCCCACACTGTATATCAAGCAATGCGGAAAGTCGCGGGTGTCAGCTAGTAACGACTAAAAATAAAAAAAACTGCTATTGCCAACACGCTTGCCAACCGTGGCAACCATAATAAATATCCCCCTCATGAGGCTAAGGGGAGGTGTTCACCATTGGCTATAATAGTTTAATAGAAGTAATAAACATCAAAAAAAAATTATACGTGGTAGATCCAAGCTCTCACAGAATACTAGCGTATTATAGCAGCTTAATGTTTCTGTGTTTCGTATGATGAGTGTGACAACGCATCTGCATTTTGTTTGCTAATTGAAGATAGACTTAGCTGTCTATAGGCCATAGTATTAATTTACCATTAAGTGGATTGTGTGCTCGCTTGTCATATATATTCCGTACAAAACTGCAACTTATTATACGTATATGTAATGTGGAGCGTGCGTGCAGCTGATTCCGGCGAAGCTGGACCAGTTCGGGCACGAGCGCTCGGCTGCGGTGGACGAGTGGGAGGCGCGTCGCGGGGCGGCGCTAGCTCTGCGAGCCCTGGCGCCGCGGCTGCGCGCCGCCGACGTGCCGGCCGCCACCGCGTTCTTCGTGCGCCGCGGCCTCGCCGACCGCTCGGCCGCCGTGCGGGACCACATGCTCGCCGCCGCCATGGCCGTCGTCGACCTGCACGGCAAGGTACCCTGCCACACACACACACACACACACACACACACACACACACACATCGTTTCTTCGGCTATCAGGGTTTTCATCTGTATAATAAAATAAACAGAATCTTGTCTATTTACCCTATTCCAAAAACCAAATGTAAGACTGTAGTACTAGGGACTGGTTGCACTCATTGGATTATGGTTCTTCGAAAAATCTACTTCATTAATGAATACTAACAGAAATAGAAAAATAGGTTAAATCATACACACAAACACACATAATATTAATGAAGAATTATATTTCGCATAATATGAGAAACTTTGAAAAAGTATCAACTACAAATTAAATTATACAATAGTAATTAAGACTCTTCTTTGTAATCAGTTATATTATATTTTCTCTATTATATTTATTCAGGAAGGAGTACAAGAAAGATTTGTTATTTGATATTTCAGACTTTTCATCATCATCATTATTACAGCCCTTCAAAGTCCACTGCAGAACATGGCCTCCCCGAAGGAATTCCACAAAGCACATTACTGAGCCACCTGCATCCATCGACTTCCTGCTTATTTTATCGGATTGACTCTCCATCTAATGCGGCCTCACGCACTACGTTTCGTCTACCTGTACCAGGCTGCCACTCAAGAATCTTTTCTCACCATCGTTTGTCGGTTCTTCGAGCTATATGGCTGGCCCATTGCCACTTTAGCTTACTAATTTGTTGAAATTAAAGGACTTTTAACAAATATAATTTATTTATTTAAAAACTATTGTGCTAACCATAAAGGTTACAAAGGGTGGACTTAATGCCAGTTAGAAATTTTTGCCAGTCACAACCCATGGTGTGGTGAAAAATTTAATATTTAACATGCACGTGTCAGGAGACGCTCAGCAGCCAGCTGCCGGAGTTCGAGCACTTCCTGGACACGGCGCCGAAGTCCGGCGGGTACGACGCCGTGCGCCAGTGCGTGGTGCTGCTGGTGGGCTCGCTGGCGCGCCACCTCGAGCCGCACGACGCGCGCATCAAACCCATCACGCTGCGCCTCGTGGCCGCGCTCTCCACGCCCAGCCAGCAGGTACGGTTTTGTTTAATTTGTTGTTGCATTGGCTACAGGGCTTTATGCCAATTAGAGTTGACGACAGTTTAAGTAAGCAGACAACCGATGTTAATATCTCAAGGTGCTATTATATTAATAACATTGGTTTTTCACTTTTTGCTGGATGAACTGATTTCGATAATTCTTTTTTTATTTGAAATCTAGTGCTTCTCATGTGGTTCCATTTAAATTAAATAATCAAGGCATGGCCGATAGTTTTTGAATTATTCTTAATAATTTATATTAAACTTGGTTGTACAAAATTATTAATTTTTAATTATTACATATTTCGCTTAATTTCTTCATCCCCATCACTATTAACGCTATTATACATCGTAAGTTCACAGAAGTAAAAAAAAAAAACACTGTCCTGAGCCACTTACATCTCGTAGTCACACTGTGAAAACCTTATGAGTCATGATGTCGTAATTCTATTAAGCGTACCCCCACTAATTAAAATACGACCTGTCCTACACTAGACCTGCGTACGAGATTGCCCGTCTTCCATAGCAGCTGTCAATTCTGCTAACTATATCGTCGGGCCGCTACTACTATAGCATAATAATTTATTTGTTATTAGATTTCTACTTATTACTACGATAGATTGAATTAAACATGTGAATTTTATACAATACTCAGAAAAAATAATGTTGAGTTCATGATGAAGACAAAAAAATGTCTTCTAAATGAAAAATGTTTTCGTTCAGTGTCTCCGTTTCCAATAACGCGTCACATCTGTTACTTGCTTTACATTTGACATCTTGTGTGGTTTGACCCATATAGTTTTCTATTATTGAAAAACGCGTACGAATGAAATATACGTATAACTCCAACATGATTTAACATGACACCCTGATTTTACAAACTAACTTTATCAGCTTCCTTTTACATATTTCTTGAATGCTTCGTTGGTCTAGTATTTGTAAAGGCGACTTCTGGTGATGAGGTTTTAATAGTATTGTTATTGGTTTTATTAGTAATTACTGTTTGTGAACAAAATGACTTGAGGCTTGTGTCACCAGCAGGCATATGTTTGAACAAAATACGTTCTCATGAAATGTCCATGAAATATTATTGAAATAATATTTTCACCGAACAAACCCCTCTAACCAATAGATGTGTATTAAAGACAGAACAAAAAAAGCAATTCTCTAATTTCCAAAAATACTAATACTTCTTATTGCTTCAGGTGCAAGAAGCAGTCAGCAATTGCTTGCCGCACTTGGTGACTTCGCCGGCACTTGAGGACGAGATTCCAACCATTATGAACAAACTCATGAAGCAACTGCTAACGGCGGAGAAGTATGGTGATAGGAAGGTTAGTGAAACTGCATTCAAATGCTAATCGTAAAAAAATGAAAAAAAAATATAAATATCAACAAGAAAAGCCAAAAATTATTATACTTTTTGTATATATATATTTTTTGTTAATGATCATTATCATCGTTATTTATATCGTTTCAGGGCGCTGCTTATGGTATTGCCGGTATTATAAAGGGACTTGGTATTTTGTCGCTAAAACAATTAGACGTCATGGGCAAACTCACTGAAGCTATACAAGAGAAGAAGAACTACAAGTACCGTGAAGGTAGACCTACGGAATTTAGACAGATTATTATATTTACTTGTTCTATATTCCAGCACACCTTCAACCAAGAATTACAAAGGGCGGACTAAATGCCCTATGGTGTTCTTTACCAGTCAACCCAGGGAAAGATGGAATAAATAAAGATAAATATTTTAGTACCGTGTAGAGGCGATGTAAGAATAAAATATCCACTACCGCATAATATCATCCCATGGGTATCGTAAGAGGCGACAGAGGCAATTAAATCATGAGATTATCCGACAAAATAAAAAACGGCGGTTGCCAACCCGCTTGCCAAGCGTGGCAACTGTGGCAAATATCTGCCCTATGAGCAATCTATGAGGGAGGCTAATAATCAGCAATGGACTTTTAGACTGTAACGTATATATTTTAAGAGTCACATTATGTATATGTTAAATACATAATATATATTTATATATGTATACACACACACACACACACGCACACATTATTACACATAATATATAGGTATGTATATAAAAATACCGATCACTGCAACCAATTTGCAGAGCATTTGAGTTACTTTATAAATTATGTTTGTTCTGTTGCAGGCGCTCTGTTCGGTTTCGAGATGCTGAGCCTCAAACTTGGCCGTCTATTTGAGCCCTATATCGTGCACGTGCTACCTCATTTGCTGATGTGCTTCGGCGACAGTTCCCAGTACGTACGTGCAGCCGCCGACGACACCGCCAAACTCATCATGAGCAAACTGAGCGCTCACGGAGTCAAGCTAGTGCTACCCTCACTGCTGCAAGCGCTGCAGGATGACAACTGGCGCACTAAGGCTGGTGAGTAAGTGAGTGAATGGGCATAAGAGTGAGTGAGTACATGCGTGCGGTATAAATATTATTAATCTGACGGCTCCGTGGCGCACTGGCTTAGCAATGAGTTGTTAATCTGGGGGCTGCGGGTTCGAATCCCGCACGGAACAAGTATTTGTATTGCCTACAAATAATTGTTCCGGGTCTGGATGTTTGTCCTCGTGCAATTTATGTTTGTAAACTGCCTCCACGATCAGGTGAAAATCCTAGTGTGGGGGGTAACGTTTTTTAAAAAAAAATTAAAAAAAAATGTACATAGTGCTAGCGATGACACCTTAGAGCTCACTATTGATTCCGTTTGGTAAGTTTTCGCCCACAGCTAAAACTTCTGAATAATAAGCGACTATCAACTGTGCAGGGAATTTTGTAGTGCTGGTAAACTATTTAAAAAAAAATATTCTAAATTAGCTTATACAAAACACTTTTTGAAGTTAAGAAAGCTGCTACGCCATCGCTTTAACTATTAGAGATTTATTAGACACACGGAGAGACAGACGGACACACACGCAATGGTCAAACTTATAACACCCCTTTTTGCGTCGAGGGTAAATAAAATATGTGTACACAAGTCATAGTTTAAGGAAACTCATTGTGTTTTCTCTTTGAATTGTACAAGTATCAGGCCTGCAGGAAGAAATTTCAATTTGAAATAAGCAGTTCTTTGTACAAAAATCTCTTTGTTACAATAGTTTATGTGTTATATTTACGAGAACACTATACTGAATGAAACTAGTTTTTCATGGTAGGGATTTTCCCACTGTGACCACTGTGTTGCAAAGTACTCGAAACGTCAGGATATAAAATGAGTTAATTAAACGCCATAAAATCTATAAAATCTAGTTTAGACAAACAGAATGTAGTGATATCACAATATCTTAACCATATGTCCAGGGTCGATCGAGCTGCTGGGTGCGATGGCGTACTGCGCGCCCAAGCAGCTGTCGTCGTGCCTGCCGTCCATCGTGCCCAAGTTGATCGAGGTGCTGAGCGACTCGCACATGCGCGTGCAGGAGGCCAGTGCGGAGGCCCTCAAGGTCATCGGCTCCGTCATACGGAACCCGGAGATTCAAGGTACGTTAATAGTCAAACAAGTATCATAGCGGCTAGCATCAACAGAGACTAGCCATCGGCGCTGGACAGGATTGTAGTGTCCAAGTGTGTGCGCGAACACAGGTGCTCTCTCTGTTCCCTCACTCTCATAGTCCGATGGTACGGTAAAGCGACAGGATCGGAGAAAGGCGGATCAGGCGCAAGGTCCAACGGCTTTTACAAGCTTACTGAGACACGGGGGTGAAACATCGTCAATTTCGTGACTCCAGACTGGTAACAACCTAATAACTGATTTTAAATTGAAACCGAAACAGAAACTTTTTTATTCAATATAGATTATAAATAATACTTGTTGAAAGTCACTCTTTTGTATAATTACCACTGGTTCGAAAAAAAACCTCAGTCCTGGGAAGAACCAGCAAGAAACCCAGCGGGACTTTCTTTTAAATAACAGCTTATAATCATGTATGCACAAGAGAGAACGGTGAGCTGAAAGTAGGGAAATTTGGAATAGGGCAACGGAACCCAAGGGGCCAGCAGCTGGCCGACTTCATGGAGAAAGAGGGACTCTTTATGATGAACTCTTTCTTCCAGAAGCGGCCCCACAGGAAGTGGACCTGGTCGAGCCCCGACGGTTCCACAAAAAATGAGATTGACTTCATTATGACGACCAGACGACAACTGTTCAGTGATGTCTCCGTGATCGCGAGGGTGAAAACTGGTAGCGATCACCGAATGGTTAGAGGCACACTGAACCTAAACATTAAGTTGGAGAGGTCTCGTCTAATGAAGTCAACGCTCCGTCCCCCTCGTGCTCTGTTCCAAAGTCCCGAAACCTTTCAGCTCGAGTTACAAAACCGTTTTCAGTGCCTGGAAGACTGCAATGAAGTGGACGATATGAATGACAAGCTCGTGGAAACTGTCCATGCGGTCGGAGCTAAGTTCTTAAGTAAAGCTACATTCTTCAACAGACTTGACAGCATACAGGCATCTGAACAGACAGATCTCCAAATGCATGCGGCGGGACTTACGCAACTTCAATACAGCTCGTATTGAAGAAGCGATCGAGCGGAACCAAGGCTCCAAAGTCTTTGCCAGAGATCTGTCTGCCAGAAAGAGCCAACTGTCAAAGCTGAAGACAGAATGTGGCAGCATCGTTTCCGGGACTCCTGAGATTTTGAGTGAGATTGAGAGGTTCTATGGGCAGATGTACACATCATCGTTGGAGCCACACGCAAGTGTGAGTAACGATCCAAGAGCGAGTCTCATCCGACACTATTCCGAAGATATCCCGGATGTCAGTCTGAGCGAGATTAGGATGGCTCTCCAGCACCTTAAAAACGGTAAGGCCCCAGGCGAGGATGGAATTACAGCGGAGCTTCTGAAAGCGGGTGGAAGACCGGTACTTGAAGTCCTTCAGAAGCTCTTTAATTCTGTCCTCCATGGTGGCATTACACCGGAGGCGTGGAGCAGAAGTGCGGTGGTCTTGTTCTTCAAGAAAGGTGACAACGCTCTCTTGAAGAACTACAGACCGATTTCCCTTCTGAGCCGCGTCTACGTGCTGTTTTCGAGAGTCATTACGAATCGTCTCGCACGCAGACTTGACGACTTCCAGCCTCCCGAACAAGCCGGTTTCCGAAAGGGCTTTAGCACCATAGACCACATACATACCCTTCGGCAAGTTGTACAGAAGTCCGAAGAGTACAATTTGCCACTATGTCTGGCGTATGTGGACTATGAGAAAGCCTTTGATTCCGTCGAAATTTGGGCGGTGCTGCAGTCCCTGCAGCGGTGCCAAGTTGACTGTCGGTATATCGAAGTGTTGAAGTGCTTGTACAGTAGGGCTACGATGGCTATCCGAGTACAGAACCAGAATACGAAACCTATCCAATTGCAGAGAGGTGTAAGACAGGGTGACGTCATATCCCCGAAACTCTTCACCGCTGCATTGGAAGACGTTTTCAAGCTTCTGGACTGGAAAGGATACGGTATCAACATCAATGGCGAGTACATCACTCACCTTCGATTTGCCGACGATATAGTCCTTATGGCAGAATCGCTGGAGGACCTAAGCACTATGCTCAATGACCTCAATAGTGTTTCCCAACGGATAGGTCTTAAGATGAACATGGAGAAAACAAAGATCATGTTTAATGTCCATGCCACACCTATGCCGGTAGTTGTTGGGAGCACTAAGCTCGAAGTTGTTGACGAGTATGTTTACCTGGGACAAATAGTCCGACTAGGTAAGTCCAACTTCGACCGAGAGGTCAATCGACGGATTCAACTCGGCTGGGCAGCGTTCGGGAAGCTACGACACATCTCGTCAGACATACCTCAAAACCTTAAAACGAAATTGTACAACCAGTGCGTGTTGCCAGTGATGACTTACGGAACTGAGACGTGGTCCTTCACTGCTGGCCGTATGAGGAAGCTCAAGGTCGCTCAGCGAGCTATGGAGAGGGCTATGCTCGGAGTTTCTCTGCGTGATAAACTTAGGAATGAGGATATCCGCAGTAGAACCAGAGTGACCGACATAGCCCAACGGATTAGTAAGCTGAAGTGGCAGTGGGCCGGCCATATAGCTCGAAGAACCGACAACCGATGGGGAAGAAAGGTTCTCGAGTGGCAGCCTCGTACCGGTAGGCGAAGTGTAGGGCGTCCCCCCACGAGATGGAGTGACGACCTGGTAAGACATGCAGGAAGTCGATGGATGCAGGTGGCTCAGGACCGTGCTTTGTGGCATTCTTTGGGGGAGGCCTATGTTCAGCAGTGGACTTGTGAAGGGCTGTAATGATGATGATGATGATGAATCATGTATGTTACACAAATTAACATCACAACAAATTAGAAATAGCTTGGTAGCGATCACCTCATTTCCAGGGGTTATTATCATCTATTGATCCGGGATTCGAACTCGGAACGTCATGGTCAGCAACCCCGTTTACGACCAGTGCACCAACAAAACAGTGAAGACTATAGGGTACAGGATGTAACAAACAACCCGGTGATCCTTTTAGGGATGTATAGATGTACATAATATAGGCATGGCATTTATCAAAGGATGTTTTTTTGATCGTTACTAAACGGATCTTTTTATTTTTTGGGATTTTTGACAAACAACCCGGTGATCCTTTTAGAGACATATAGATTTTTTTTGGTCGTTGTTACCAAAGGGATTTTTTTTCTTTAATTTTATTTGGGATTATTGTCGAAACGACATGCCAATCCTATCATACCTTATAATAATTACTGCTAACACTAGAACATAAATAGGAAAGTATAATTGTGAGTACTAGTTACATTACTAACCTAAAAAGAAACTTATACTGAAGATGAGAAGATAATTATTCCGTACTAAAAGCAAGCCGGAATAACTCTCTTGACATCTTTGATTTGGGGTTTGATAAAACCATTTGCACTAAATATATATACTAACATTTGCGATAAATTCTTTCAACGCAGCCTGTCCATCTTTTTGTTCTTGACACACTCCATCAACAAATGGTAAACATCACAATTCGGTGGTTTTTTTTTTTCATTAAGAAAGCGAACTTTGCTAATGGAATAGACCAGAACGAAGCCTTAGACCTAACCTAACAAAATTTCTACTGAGATCACTATCATTAAACCAAGGTGCGCGATCAGGCTCGCTTTGTATAGTTCTATACCAGATGCCTTTCGTTTTAGATTTCTCTTCTAATAGCTTTTCCAATTTTGGTAACATACACTTTTAAATTTTGAGACATAAGTAATCAGTCGAATCTGGTATAAAAATAATGATGTCACCCTCTACTGCAGCTAGATTAGATAAACGATCAGCCTCTTCATTACCCTTAAAGCCTATATGACCCGGCATCCATTGCAATATTAACGGAATATTCCGTTTGTTATAAATTTTAATAAATTTCAAAATATTATAAGCTATCGAGCTGCCTCTGAAACCAGAGGCACACCAAGCACTTTTGCTATCACAAAAAATAAGTTATTTTTTTAATTTTGTTTTTATGTGCATACATCAAAGTTTGGAATATTGCAATGAGCTCCAGCGTCATTATTGACACATCAACATTTAGTTTAAATTTAGCCCTGTATCCTAAATCTTGATCAAGGACACCAGTTCCTAAGCCATTTTTATTTTTAGAGCCGTCAGTGTATATTTTATGCCACCGCAAATACCTTGTTTAGTTCAGAAATAACACTATTAATTAGCAAATTAGTTTCATAACAATTTTACATGAATTTACGCTGTTTAGATTTAATTAAATAACATTTTTAACGTCTACAATTTAGTAGGGATTTTAGTATTCACAAATTTACATAGATATCTTACTATTTTTTTTTTATAGGATAGGGTGACAAACGACCACACAGTCCACCTAAGTGGTTGCTGTGGCTCATAGACATCTACATCTATCCTCGTTTGCGAATCAAAATGCAGATGCGTTGTCACCCGTGAGTACTAAGATGGAATGCCTCTTTTCCATTAAAAAGGGTCTCCGGTTCTCTACACTCACCATACGAAACACAGCAGGGATAAGCTGCTATTTTACGCTGGTTTTGTGTGAGAGCGTGGTCCTTCCCCGGTCGAGCCGACCCATTAGTGCTACAACTATACTACTAATATAGCTGCAGCATGGCTCTACCACGTAAAACTACTAAATTCAATCTTGGTAAAAATTGTTATTTACTTCTGAATGGGTGAAGCGGAGTCTGACAATACCTTACTCCCCGCCCCATGCAGTCAATAAATCCACAGAAATTGTGAATAATTTTATTTTAATACAGTTGCTCAAAAAGTGGCGTATTGCAGGGACGTATAGCGCTCGGGATGTGGGCTATTACATATTCGTGCTTTTTCTTTAACTTTTCCGAACTCGTGCGTTCTCTTTCCCAACTGTCAAAATAATGTCTATTAAAAAGAAAAAACCAACCACGAAGTTATTACTAAAAAAATTCATAGAAGTTTTTATGATTCATGCAAATATTTCTAAAAAGAAGCTACTAATTTGTTTCAATATCAGATTTAATGATTTGATTCAATGAGTTAGGTTAGGTTTCATTTCATTTCATCTCATTAAATTTAATTTTCATTTCATATCAATAAAAAAGTTCTACTGAAGACTTGGCTGTATAGGCATAGTTCCCTTTGCCTACCCAGAATGGGTGAAGAAAACAAAAAAATCTCTGCTTATATTCTTTTACGGTTGGCGCCATTTTCCAAAAATGTTCTTTATTATAAACTAGCTGACCCGGCAAACTACGTACCGCCTAACAGTCAATTCTTTAATTTTTTTTAATACTCATTCTGCTATTCGGGACACCGGGTCAGCTAGTAAGATAAAAAAGAAAAGTTAATAAGTCAACAATTACATTATGTCAAAAAATAAAAATTATAATTGTTTTGCCTTCCTGGAACCCCTTCACTAACACTTAAACTTTATGGTATGGTATTAAAGTTCAAATTGACTTTTAAGTATTAATACGAATCTTTTGTATGGGAATATAGAAAAGTGTTGTTTTTATACCTTTTTATTTACCTATTTATTAAAATTATAATATAACCTTTTTATTAAAATTACTTCAATACGTTTGAATACTGATTCTGATAACGCACTTGCGGAAACCACGGGGTTTTCTTACATATTGTATAACTTAGCCATGAATATTCATTGCATTCAACACTGTAGTAAAATTGAAAATGTCCAAAAACTCGCGACTACTTTAGACGCGCTCGTGTTTTTCATGCGTAGAAAGCATTCTCGGAACCCATCTCGCACAGACTTTAGTCATGCCAATTTGTTGATGTAGGATGCTTAAAAAGGTTGTTTCTGATACTCCAACTAATGCTGCAACCTGTTTTTTCATTAATCGGGCATCTTCCGATACAAGTTTTTCACCTTTTTCGATTATTTCTGGCGTGGTAGCCTCAATCGGTTTATTTGAAAAGGGCGTGCCGTTTATAAATCATGGGTTTCCCAAGAGTGGAGTCCCCATAAACAGCTGAGATCTCTTGAAAAATGGTTAAATTTTCTCAATAGTGGCTAGTTTCTTCCGTTTGTTTACTCGTTGATAACTCAAAAGCTTATGACCTGATTAGGCTAAAACTTGGTATATATACTAACAATGCGTCACACAACTAGCGCCCACCTGGATGAGTAAATTCACCCTCGCCAACCCCGCCATACCGCAATCTTTTTTTACAAATAAATTAACTGATATACGGGTTGTCCTCCAGATAGTAGGTGGATAATGCTGACCATAAACACCTGCAACCAATTTGAATTTTTATAAATTAATACTGCCATACTTCATTACATTCAAAGACTAAGATGAACTTGTACTTACTGGCTCTGCATACCCTTTAAACTGAATGCCTGTTAATAGAAAAAGCTTTAAAAATAACACTGACAAAGACAGACTTCTAGATAACTTAAAAACGAACTCGTGTATCTAACAAAGTCCACTGCTGAACATAGACCTCGCCTATGATTGTCTCATAAAGAAGATTTCACGTCGGTTGTCACTCTTGGCGGGCGGTTTGGCAACCGTAGTTTTTTTATTATTTTAAGTTGGTATCAAGAAGATACTGCTGCCCATCTCCTGATTTTTTTTCCCACTGTCACTTCTTACGACACCCACGGGACGATATGGGTTTTTTTTATAAGATAGGGTGACAAACGAGCACACAGTCCACCTGATGGTAAGTGGTTGCTGTGGCCCATAGACGTCTACATCTATACTCGATTACGAATCAAAATGCAGATGCGTTGTTACCCGTGAGGACTAAGATGGAATGCATCTTTTCCAGTAAAATGGGTCTCCGGTTCTCTATACTCACCATACGAAACACAGCAGTGTTAAGCCGCTATTTTACGCTGGCATTCTGTGAGAGCGTGGTCCATCCTCGGTCGAGCCGACCCATTCGTGCTACAACTATACTACTAATATAGCTGCAGCGTGGCTCTACCACGTTAGTGGTATTCTTACACTGCCACTACATAACTTAATTGTGGCGGCGCTGTCGTCGCGCCACAAGCGAAACACATAATCGCACTAACAAACTTCCGAAATTAAAGCAGCATATATAGAATAGCTCCGAACTACCAATCGGAGCGTTGGCCGCTCTCCGGGCAGAACAACTTGCCCGGCGGGAGATCTCCCCTTTTTCTTCCACCCGCCACAGTGGTGACCCCGACGTGATATGAACACGCAACCAACAACCTTCGGAAACTACAACTTCAAACCTTCGTCATCATCCTCAAGTACCTCATTCATTCGCTCCCGAGCAGATATTGTCAGCAGTCTTCACATTCTGCAAGCCATCTAGCTTTACAAAGGTTCATCGCAGCACTGGAATAATAATGCTTCCTGTTCCTTCAAGCTACTCTCTGCGCTACAGTGTGCGGCACGGCTCTGAGCCTTACTGCTCGCCTCTGCTTCACGGCACTCTCGCAGATTACTTGCCTTCTTCTCGACTCACCGCAGACTACAAGGCAATTCCCTGGCACTTGCAAATTCGTCGACATCTCGACTGCACTATCGACCTCCGGTCTGAGCAGGGGGTGATGTGGCGGCGCTGTCGTCGCGCCACAAGTGAAACACATCGAAGCCTAAATCGCACTAACAAACTTCCGAAATTAAAGCAGCATATATAGAATAGCTCCGAACTACCAATCGGAGCGTTGGCCGCTCTTCGGGCAGAATATCTTCCCTTTTCCTTCTACCCGCCACAATGATTTTGTGCAATTAATTTCCATTGCGCAAAAATTCTCTAATTTTGATTTTACTTTTAGGGATGTACTAGTTTTAGTAAGGTCCTTATCCTGCTAATTATTGCATTTTCTACTTTGTTTGGTTTTAGCATCATACAGTATACAGCGATAGTGAAATTTAATCTTAATAAACCAGTCTCTAATATTGGCAATGCAGCAATATTGAATGACTTCGCTTAAAGCACGGTGCGGTGGAGGATTTTTTCTATTGCTTTGCATTTTCAAACTTAATTCCCTTCATAAAAAGTTTTATTTCTATTGCAACTAAAACAGTTTTAGGACCTATTGAACAGTATTTGTGATTCGAAAACAGAGTTTAATCTCAAGTTATTAAAGTTCAAATTTGTATGAATTGAATATATTGGAAAATCTTCCTCCTCCGCGATCATCCTATAGCATTTTTCTAGACTCCTTTTTGTACTCTTTTTTTTTGTTAAATTATAATCGGCTCCCACTGAAGATTAGCATCGCAGTACTTTATCAGTACCAAGACTATGCCGAGTTGGGTTTCTGCCAACAGGGCGGCGCCACTTAAAAGTGAGATATAATATTTGACAGATTTCATAGCGGGGAAGTAAATTAGTTTAGAAAATGTAAAGGTTAATGTTTATTTCTGTATTGTCAGCTGTATTTTATATTAATTAGATTAAAAATAAAAAACCAAGCCACAGATATTCATAAAAGTAGAAACATTTTAAAAAAGTTAAAAATGTGCAAGAAATTAAAGAGCAAACCACTGAGGAATTGTTTTGTGTATTAATATAATACTCTACAAAATGATATACTTTTATTTAAAACTAACTTCTCAATTAAATGACATTGAGTAATATAAAAACTTTACCTCAGTGTCAACTAGCGACGTCTGGTGAGCAGAAAATTATTAGCCCTCATTGGGTACCTACTTAATAACCATTAACCAAATTTATAATATATTATTATTGTATGTACATTGCTTATGTTACTAAATAAACTTTAGCGCATCTGCATTTTGATTCTTTGTTGAGGATAGATACAGCATTCACTTGCCATCGCGTGGACTGTGTGCTTGTTTGTCACCTTTATTCTATAAAAGATTTTTTTTATTTCTTTTCTACTTTTATAATGTAAGTGGTGTGTTGTGCGCAGCGATCGTGCCAGTGCTGCTGCAGGCGCTGCAGGACCCGTCCAACAAGACGTCGGCGTGCCTGCAGACGCTGCTCGACACCAAGTTCGTGCACTTCATCGACGCGCCCTCGCTGGCGCTGATCATGCCGGTGGTGCAGCGCGCCTTCCTCGACCGCAGCACCGAGACCCGCAAGATGGCCGCGCAGATCATCGGCAACATGTACTCGCTCACCGACCAGAAGGATCTCATGCCCTACCTGCCCAACATCATCCCCGGACTCAAACGCTCGCTCCTGGATCCCGTGCCAGAGGTGACCTTTACTCGTTTTAAATATTATTTATTGATAATTACCACGTTTTTATTAAGTCACTTTCTTCTCCTCTAAGTACATTTTACTAACTTGAAGGAGGAAAGAGTCGACTCCACTGTTTCTTATTTCTTCAAGTCACACTATTTTTTACACGGTCAAGCATGTGATAAATCAGCACACAAAATTGTTATTTACAGTTTCAGTGAACTGGTTAGTGTTTTTTGGAATTTCGATTCGTTTGTAAAAACTGTGGTCATTGTTAACCGAACAGCTGGGTTGCCCTAAGTGAGTGAGATGTAGTCTAAAATTTGTAAACATGTTCAGAATTGCCCCTGTTATATCATCAGATTCGATAGACCACAAATTTTCGCAAAAGAACACTCAATGTTTTTTAAGTGATTCGTGAAATCAAAACAACAACATCCTAATTTCAAAAGAGAAGACTATGTGCTACTATACTTTATACCTACCTCGCTTTTTTTAATATTTTTAATAGTCAGAACAATATGGCATTTTTATTTTATAAAACTGAAGTAGCAAAAGTATTTACAGTCCGTCTGATTGTAAGTGGGCTGCTGTAGTTAATCGACACCTGCCGCTAATTTCAAATAAACTAGGTTGAAGGATGCATTGTCACCTCTAGTTATTTCTATACGTTAGATTACTAATATATAACGCAATTAATGGGGACCACCGGCGAAATAATATGTATTACGTACTAGAACAGACATCGCGAACAAAATCTGTGCGGTAGTGCAAGTCAAGTGCCCCATTTGGAAGGAAGCGTAGAGTACTATTTTATGGTACAGAATAAGTAAGTTTAAGCCAATGGGCTGTAATGCGTGTTGCAAACGATTAACTCTCGACGTAAGTGTAGTGTATAATAAATATGTATGTCTAGAACAGTCTCCAAATGAAGGAGGTTGCAATCGGACGGATTAAAGTTTCTTGTAGTACGTAGTAGATATTAGTTCGATGGGGGAGCACAGGGTTATACGAGTATGAATATGACATGTGTGTGCGTGGTGTGGCAGGTGCGGTCGGTGTCGGCGCGCGCGCTGGGCGCCATGGTTCGCGGCATGGGCGAGTCCAGCTTCGAGGAGCTGCTGCCGTGGCTCATGCACACGCTCACGTCCGAGACCAGCTCCGTGGACCGCTCGGGCGCTGCGCAGGGCCTCTCGGAGCTGGTGGCCGGCCTCGGCGTGCACAAGCTGCACAAGATCATGCCCGGTCGGTCACCTTTTTTTTTAATTGAAATTTTCTTTTACCTCTCAGTTGTTGTTGTTCTTTTTATTATTATTCGCTCGAAAGAGCAGGCAAAGGGACTATGCCATACAGCCTTGTCTTTTTTATTTTGAGTGTATAGAATTTCACTGCTTCACAATATGTTGATGCGTCACATTGTGTAGCCCTTGGGAGATTTTGACGGCAACTCGAGCCAGCAGACAGCTGACAGTCGGAGATGGTATCTAAAGGCGCCTTTGCAAACAAACAGCTTATCTTGAGAATCCATCACCATCAGAGCACTTGTTTCACCGTTTCCACTAATAGTTCACATGCGTAGACAGTTAATACATAAAATCGCACCACTTTTAAATATCAAATTCCACTCCAAACTATTATTTAAAATTATAATACAGGAGCAGCAACCCGCCACCGATCATGTTCCCGCCAAAACCATTTCACCTCTCAGACTCTGACATTTTATTAGACCAACTTGGTCAGACCTATGGTCAAGCCAAAGAGTATGTCAGGCCAAGGATAATATTTTTTTAAATGAAGAAACGACGATTGTCGTCGATAAATAAAATATTTTGAGAAATTATCAATTACCGTGTAATGGCAGTGTTACGTCCTACAGCTGCCCCTGCAAATGTCGAATCTCCCGGGGCCCATGAGCGTAAGATTCAACGAGCAGCCGCAGGTTCGAGCCCGAGTGGCTATATGGAAGAATTTCCTATAATACTAAGCTAACTTCCTAACAATTTGTTAGCCCGGCTTCTAATTCTAGACTTAACAAAAAACCCTCGTCGTGGCAACAATTTGCTAACAAAACCGACTCTCAAAATGGAGATTTCCCGGGCGACTTCACGACGTGCTCTCGACAGCACTGTATTCGCTAGAATACACGGGAGTTATTGTTGCCACGACGAGGACAGTTGCTAAACTGTCCTCGTCGTGGCAACAATAACTCCCGTTAACCGCCCACACTTCTACCGGTTATGAACGCGCCGTATCAAGCCGAGCGCCCTCCGGCGTCAAGTCTTGAAACCAACGTTTGGGCGTGAACTGGCAGTATATGAATATTCATATCATTCAGTGGGTGTCGTAAATGGCGACTAGACTTGCAAAAAAGTTTTATTTTTAAATAACCGTAGACCGTCGTTTCAGTTACAAAAAAGTCACAGTTAAAAATCATTGTGACTTTGTCACGTTAATAACGTTGGATATAACCACTTGGAAGATTCGAACGACTTATAACATGACTTTAAATATGCATTTTAGATTTAGTATTAGGTTTTATTTCAGTAGTCCAATTTTATTACCTTCCTTACGCAACCTACGTGGCTATGTTATAAGAATTATTCTTATTATTTTTGAAATATACCAATTTCATCTAACTTAACTGATCAATAGGTGTACCGTTGCAGTACATGGTACACGTACCTTGTTACACAGTAGCAAGGTACATCAAACAATTTGTTAAACAAAAGTTGCGTAAACAAGTTCAATGGTTAAAACAGTAATAAATAAAACCAAACAAGCTTACTGAAAAGAAAAAAATTCAGATATATGTCACTTCTACAACCATTTTTCTGAAAATAAATTTGCCATAATATTCACTATATATCGAAATTGTAACATAAAACGTAATTTTTGCACATTGGCCCTTATGGAATATGAAAATTTGTGTTTTTATATGATTTATAGTGATAACCCACACTTTATATTTAATTTTCAGTTACTTCTGACTACTTGAACTACACATGCGAACGATACAGTATATGAAATGCAAATTTTATAAAGTTGTTACGAAACAAAATATAAGCAAATAACTTTAAAAAACCGTGTAACTTTTAAAAAACGTGTTAGTTTTTTATATTTAACTTACCTTTTATATAAAAAAAAAAACTAACAACAAACTTTCTTTTGTATCCACTTAATCTTTTAAAATGTGTATTTGCCTCTTACTTTGCGGCGATGGAAATAGACTGAAGTATATTATGCAGTAAACGTGACGCGTAGGTAAAGGCGGAAACTCGTCATTTGAAGTAAATTCTCTTAATTTAGAGAAGTGTAATTTAGTAACGAAACTAATTCTAATAAAATTTTAATTGTATAATTCTTATAAACAGCATTTACAAAATAATTGTTCGGAGCAATTATATTCTTATACTTATACACTTTATTCTGAGTAAACGTAGTGATCATATACTCTTTGGTTCTGAGGGGTCCATTCTAAATATTACGATACTCTTTGGAGTCTCTTTGGAGTCTCTTTACCCGGATCACCACAGGTTAAAATCATCATTTGAAATTCGATAAAACTAAAAAGCGACACTAAAACAAATCAAGATGTGGCTGTGTGTGGACACGGCCGTAAGTTAAAATACTCGATAAAATCTGTAAAAATTAGTTTTTTTTGCAAGGTATAGTGTTCGCGTAAACATAAGAAATCATCACTACTTAATTAATTTGTAAGAGTGTAGATCTGTTCTCAGTCGAGTTAACCCATACGTGATAAAACTATAAAATAGCTGCATTGTGGCTCTACTGCGTATATAACACTCACGTTAGTGAGTGCTCCTAACCACACCCACACACTCAGCCCACTACAGTCGCACTATATAGCAGCATCGAAATTATAGCTATTATATATACAGCATACACATAGATAATACATACATAGATTCGGATCTACGTATAAAATATAATTTAAAATTATAAATTTTGTACAGCCGACTTCAATATAAGTTATTAAGAATAACTCAAAAACTATTGGTCTGTCCTTGATCAAATTCATATGGGACCACACGAGAAGTATCAGCTTTCATATAAAAAAGGAATCATCGAAATCGGTCCACCCAGTAAAAAGTTCTTTATTATTTATTGTACACACTAAGTTGGTAACAATTATTAAATATTCAAATAAAATGTACAAAGGCGAGCTTAACCCTAGTAAGAGTTTTCTTCCAGCAAACCTATTGGGAAAGCGAAATAGTTTTACATATAAAGCAAGTAGGTAGCAGCGTGCGTACTTAATATTTAACTTAACACTACTTAATAGAAATCGGCTAAAGTTACAGTTGACAATTAACATATAAGTGTATAAAATATAAGTATAATTTATTTTCTTATTTCTATTGATTTACATACATTTATACTAATAAAGATAATAAACACATACACATATACACATACACACACACATACATATATATACACATACATACATATATACACATACATACATACATATATACATACATGTACACATATATAAATATTTGTAATTCTAAGTTGATAGATAATATTTCTTTACTCTGCTCCGAAAAGTATCAAGAGAAGAGCTAGCACGTATCTCATGTGGAAGTGAGTTCCATAGCTTGACCGCCCTTACAGTAAAGGATCCACCACATCGGCTTGTGAAATGAGAAGGATTTCTGAGAAGCAGCTGTTTAGTGGTCCGGCACTGAGTTTCACGAGGTACAAGATACTCAAAACGCTCGCGGAGATATGGAGGTGGAAGAGGATTAAAGAGTAGAAAGTAAAGAAATGATAACACATGTAAGTCTCGACGTCTACGGATAGGAAGCCATTTTAATTGAGCCCTGTACTCTGAAACATGATCAAACTTACGAAGACCAAAAATAAAACGTATACACAAATTTTGAACACGTTCTAGTTTGTTCAACAGCTCCTCTGAAGCATCCAAAAAACTAACATCAGCGTAGTCAATGAGAGGAAGAAGAAGTGCTTGAGCTAAGGTTATCTTAGTTTTTTACGGTAAAAACATCTGGAGGCGCTTGAGAGATTGAAAAGAATAGTTCACTTTTCTGCTAATCATATTAATGTGAGCAACCCAAGACAAATTATTATCAAAAATAACACCTAAGTTCTTAGCAGTCTCTGTATATGGAATTTGAGTATTATCATACGTTACTGCAGGGATCTTCGAACGATCTAATAAATTAAGCATATATGAGCTGCCGATAATCATTACTTGGGATTTAGCAGGATTAACAAGAAGACCAAACGATTTCGCCCAACTGCTTATGCTACTTAAGTCAGCATTCAGCTTATTAATAGCCTCATCTATATCTTGGACTTTGAAATGACGGTATAATTGCAAGTCGTCAGCATAGAGATGATAATGATAGGTGAGAACAGTAGTGAGAGCGTTGATAAAAATAGAGAAGAGAAGTGGGGAAAGAACACCACCCTGAGGAACACCCGCCGTAAGATCACACCACTCGGAGAAATCCTCCTCATGGCGTACACACTGCGAGCGATCCCTAAGGTAAGAATTAAACCAAGAGATTACTGATGGTGAAATGTTTAAGGACGAAAGAATACCAAGAAGTATGTCATAATCAACGGAATTAAATGCACTGCTGAAGTCCAATAATGTTAGAACAGTGAGAAATTTTTTGTCCATGGCCCAGCGAATGTCATCAGACACTTTAATCAGAGCGCTGACTGTACTATGGCCTGGACGAAAACCAGATTGAAAAGGGCACAGCAAGCTGTGAACAGTTAGGAAATGAGATAGTTGCCTCTGAACTATATTTTCTAGTACTTTAGATAAGATCGGAAGAATAGAAATAGGGCGGAATTGGGATAAAGATGTAGGGTTAGAAGTTTTTGGAAGGGGAATTATGAATGTCTTTTTCCAGCAAGTTGGAAAGGAGCTCGTCTCAAGCGACGAAAAGATAATGTGAGTGATAATAGGGACAAGTTCATTAGTGATAGGTTTAATCATTTTTATACAAAGATTGTCATAGCCAATAGCTTTAGTGGAAATAGATAAAAGGCATTTTTTTATTTCACCATCAGTAACTTTACTGAAATTAAAAGGAGAACACAGCGGCTTAGGAATATTGGAGAGAAGATTAAGTGTCACAGACTTAATAGAGTCATCAATAGAAATCGGAGGCTCAGAAAAGTGCCGGTTGAGTGCAGTCAAATCAAACGAGATATTAGGATCATTATATGATTTGCCTATACCC